TCTGCCTTTTTCATATTTCCCCAAATATTTCTTTCTCTGGATTCCTCCCATAGCTAGTGTGGGAAGTCAGCCCCCCAGAGAAGGAAATATTAAAAGGGCAGAAAAATATATTTCCTCAAAGGGTCTTAAAGAGGCAGAAAAGCAGGCCCAGTTTTTCTTAGTAGCCCCAGGTCTCCCTCCCCCAAGCAGAAACTAGCTCTGCAGAAATGCAGATGTGATAATCCAGTGGTGGCGAACCTATGGCACGGGTGCCAGAGGCGGCACTCTGAGCCCTCTCTGTGGGCACCCGCGCCAGTCCTAGGCCTTCTGCTGGGTTTTATAAAATCTTTTCGTTTCACCGCCATGTGCAAAAAAAAAAAGGTTCAATCAATCAGTCAATTTCAATTTCTCGCGGGAAAAAAAGATCTTGCAAAGTTGGAATTGATTGAACTTTTTAGTCCCTCCCAGTCTGCCGTTACCACCGCAGCCATGCACACCCAATTTGCCACACTGACCCAATGGGCCACACCCACCCAGCACTCGGCGATGCATAAGTGGGATTTGGGTTGCAGTTTGGGCTCTTGGTCTCTAAAAGGTTCGCCATCACTGTGATAATCCATTCAGGAAGACAAGCTTAGGAAGACAAAGACGCCTAAAATTTACATACCCCACCGAAACTCTAAGAGAGAAAATAATAGGATTAACCCACAGATGCCAAAGGGACACACTCAGACTCAGGTCAAAGTTCATGCCACAGGAACCACTCCAAACACAAGGCCCCAGAGGGTATAAAAACCCGCTCCCTACATGTCCTCTCTCTTCTTTTCTTCCAGAGCCGTCTTCCTGTCTGGCTCTCCTCTTCAATAAACTGCAACCTTCTTCCTAAAGCAGTCGCCATGTTGTTTATTCCCGGCTTGGACTGAACCACGATGAAGACTTTCCCTTCAGCACTAGAAAATAAGCACCTTGTTCCCAGCAATGCTTCCATCTGCCTGCTGTGCTAAATAGCCAGCTTCTGGTGCAGCCCATCGAGACGGGCGGGGCCTTCTCCTCTTGGGTAGTCTGGTTGACCTCCTCTGCATCTGCCTTTTCATTGCCCTATGTGTTCTCAGATCAGGTACGGAAGGCAGTTCTTCCTCCTCTTCTCCGGCTGCCTGCCTCTGCAAGCTTTCTGCAGCTGGAACCTCAGCCAACTACCCTTCGGCAGGCCGTTCAGAGCCATCAGTCAACCCAGCTCCTGATGTGCCAGGAATTGGCTCATCCTTCCCTAAGCTGACATCTCAGGACGTATCTGGGGAATTGTTCAAGGGAGATTTTTTTAAGGGAGAATAGGTTGATCCCCTCTTCTCTGTGATAGCCCCTCAAATATTGGAAGACGGCTATCCTGTCCCCCCTCATCCTTCTCTTCATTAAATTAGACATACCCCAATTCCTGCAACCGTTCTTCGCATGTTTTAGCCTCCAGCCCTCTAATGATGTTGCTTGCTTTTCTCGGCACTCTTTCCAGAATCTCAACATCTGTTTTATGTTGTGGTGACCAAAACTGGATGCAGGATTCCACGTATGGCCTTATAAAGTGGTATTAACACTTCACGTGATCTGGTTAAAGGACTACAAAACCCTTTCAGAAGATCTGCTTCAGGGGTCCTCAAACTTGGCCCTTTTATGACTTGCGGACTTCAACTCCCAGCGTGCCTGGCTGAGGAATTCTGGGAGTTGAAGTCCACAAGTCATAAAAGGGCCAAGTCTGAAGACCCCTGACTTAGCCACTTCTTCGCTTAATGATTAAGTAGCCAGCCCCAATTGTAGTCACTAAAACGTATGCTGTTTATAGGCTACTATTAGATATCATATGATTTTATTGTCTTTGAGATTATAGATCAGGGGTCTTCAAACTTGGCCCTTTTATGACTTGTGGACTTCAACTCACAGAATTCCTCAGCCAGGCACATGTGAGTTGAAGTCCACAAGTCATAAAAGGGTCAAGTTTGAAGACCCCTGATCTGCTTTCATTGGTCAAATGGAGCAAGACAATTTTGGGATGAGCAAATGGCTGTACATTATTATGAGCAAACGGCTGTACAATTTTGAGACATAGCTTGGGAAGAAGAAGAAGGAGGAGGAGGAGGAGGAGGAGGAGGAGGAGGAGAAGGAGAAGAAGAAGAAGAATTAAAAAGTCAAAAGGAGCCTGCTAGCATCTTTTTCTAAGTCACAAATCTTATTGCAGAGCTATTTTCGGCTTTAATGGCTCGGGAGAAAAATTGATCAAGGAGATGATTGTACAAAACCACAGCATGCTTAATTTAATCAGAATTGCCCTGGCTTTGTAAAATACATTAAGGCAGAATCCACCCAAAACCGCATTATCTGATATGTGAATCTGGACAGTGGATTTTATTTTAAAATAATGTGGCCTAGGATATTTTTTGTTGCTTTGAATTCTGGAACCTACAGCTAGTATTTTATATTCATAAACATCTCCAAAGCGCCGGAAGGCAGGAAAAGAAGCAACGGATGGAAACTGATCAAGGAGAGAAGCAACCTGGAACTAAGGAGAAACTTCCTGACAGTGAGAACAATTAACCAGTGGAACAACCTGCCTCCAGAAGATGTGAATGCTCCAATACTGGACGTTTGTCTGGGATGGTGTGGGAGAAAGGTGTCCAACCTTAGGAAGTTTAAAGATTTTTAGACTTCAACCTCCAGAATTCCTGGCTGGGGAATTCTGGGAGTTGAGGTCCACAAGTCTTAAAGTTCCAAGGTTGTACACTCCCGGTATACGGTCTCCTGCTTGAGCAGGGGGCTGGACTAGAAGACCTTCAAGGTCCCTTCCAACAATGTTATTCTGTTATTCTGCTTTCCTTCCTTCCTTCCTTCCTTCCTTCCTTCCTTCCTTCCTTCCTTCCTTCCTTCCTTCCTTCCTTCCTTCCTTTCCTCCCTCCCTCCCTCCCTTCCTTCCTTCCTTCCTTCCTTCCTTCCTTCCTTCCTTCCTTCACCCCTTCCTTCCTTCCTTCCTTCTCCACCACTGGAGGTTTTTAAGAAGAGACTGGACAGCCCCTTGTCTGGAATAGTACAGGGTCTCTTGCTTGAGCGGGGGGCTGGACTAGAAGACCTCCAAGGTCCCTTCCGACTCTGTTATTCTGTTAGAGGCTTCAAAGTCATGTAAATTCATCACCTTCTGGAAACAGCGAAATACAGAGTAGAATAGAATAGAACTAGAAGGGACCTTGGAGGTCTTCTAGTCCAGCCCCCTGCTCTAGCAGGAGCACCTATACCATCTCAGACAAGTGACTGTCCAGTCTCTTCTTAAAAACCTCCAGTGATGGAGCGCCCACGATTTCTGGGGGCAAGCGGTTCCACTGGTTACGTTAAGCATCATTTAATTGATCTTGGCCTGCCCCGGGTTATTTTATTCCATCGATTCAAAATTCAGACGCGTGGCGTCTGACTCATATTGCTGACAGTTTTACTATCCTGGGGAGTCACGTGATCTCTTTGGCGACCTGCTGACAAGCAAAGCCGATGGGGAAGCAAGATTCACTTAACAACCGTGATAGTAATAACAATAACAACAACAATAATAATAACAATAGAGTTGGAAGGGACCTTGGAGGTCATCTAGTCCAACCCCCTGCTCAGGCAGGAGACTCTATACCATTCCAGGCAAATGGCTGTCCAGCCTCTTCTTAAAAACCTCCAGTGTGGCAGCATTCACAGCTTCTGGAGGCAGGTTGTTAATAATAATAATAAAGTTGGAAGGGACCTCAGAGGTCATCTAGTCCAACCCCCTGCTCAGGCAGGAGACCCAATACCATTCCAGACAAATGGCTGTCCAGCCTCTTCTTGAAAACTTCCAGTGATGGAGAAGGAAGGAAGGAAGGAAGGAAGGAAGGGATAACAGAATAACAGAGTTGGAAGGGACCTTGGAGGTCATCTAGTCCAACCCCCTGCTCAGGCAGGAGACCCAATACCATTCCAGACAAATGGCTGTCCAGCCTCTTCTTAAAAACCTCCAGTGTGGCAGCATTCACAGCTTCTGGAGGCAGGTTGTTAATAATAATAATAATAATAATAATAATAATAATAATAATAATAATAAAGTTGGAAGGGACCTTGGAGGTCATCTAGCCCAACCCCCTGCTCAGGGAGGAAACCCTATGCCATGTCAGACAAATGGCTGTCCAGTCACTGACTTAACAATGGCAGTGATTCGCTTACCAACAGTGGCAGGAAAGGTTGTCAAACGGGGCAAAATTCACTTAACAACCCTTCCACTGGCCAACACAAATGTTGTGCTGAATTGTGCCTGTAAGTCAAGAACTTTCCAAAGCCCCTGAAGGCAGGACAAGAAGCAATGGATGGAAACTAACTAAGCAGAGAAGCAACCTGGAACTAAGGAAAAATTCCTTGACAGTCAGAACAATTAACCAGTGGAACAACCTGCCTCCAGAAGCAGTAAATGCTCCAACCCTGGAAGTTTTTAAGAAGAAACTGGATAGCCATTTGTCTGAAATGGTATAGGGTTTCCTGCCTGAGCAGGGGGTTGGACTAGATGACTTCCAAGGTCCCTTCCAACTTTATTATTATTATTATTATTATTATTATTATTATTATTATTATTATTACTACTACTACTACTACTACTACTACTACTACTACTACTATACTAGTAGTACTAGTACTACCGCTACACTCGCCGTCCGCATTCACAGAGAAATACAACAGTTGCACATACGATCCAACGGTGCTTGCTAAAATAGGCTTGGCCCCACCACAGAACATGTGAATAAGTGTTTGGCCTGGTGTTTGTAAGTTCAGAAAAATAGCAGCACAATCGACAATTACGCAAATTCCTTGGAGGGGTCCAGGATGGCAGAAAGCAGGGGTGGCTAAGCAGGGGAAACGAGGGCTGTTAAAGGAGACGACGGGACTCGGTCAAGTGGGAATTTGTGGAGGGAGGCTGATCAGCCTTATAAAAGGCTGGGTTCGGTTTTTTTATTTATTTTTTGGGGGGGGGATGAGATCATTGCTGATCGAGAAGAAAGAAAGAAAAAAATATTGCCACCTTCAATCTGCAAGTAAGTCTATATCCATGCAATAAGAAAAAAAAAAAGATCCACAGGAAGAAAAGAAACAGATCAGTTGCAGCAAAAGGTTAAATGTGCAATGGAAATTCAAGAATAAGAATAAGAAAAGAATAAGAGTAAGAGTAAGAATATGAGTAAGAATAAGAATAAGAGTAAGAATAAGAAAAGAATAAGAATAATAAGAATAAGAAAATAAGAATAAGAAAAGAATAAGAAAAAGAATAAGAATAAAAAAAGAATAAGAATAAGAAAAGAATAAGAATAAGAATAAGAATAAAAAAAGAATAAGAATAAGAAAAGAATAAGAATAAGAACAATAGAGTTGGAGGGGACCTTGGAGGTCATCTAGTCCAACCCCCTGCTCAGGCAGGAAACCCTACACCATTTCAGACAAGTGGCTGTCCAGTCTCTTCTTAAAAACCTCCAGCGTTGGATAATTCAGGTTGGAAAGACAATATCGTATAATTTTGTTTATTGAGCATGTTTTAACACAGATCCAAAATATCTACAAGAAAACTAACGAGAGACTAGAGGCTAATTAATCGTTCTTAGTTTTAGGTTACACCTGACTTACAACCTGTCTTTCGGTATCTTTTTAATTTCGTATTGTTGTTCATTTTTATTGCTTTCTCCCTTCGTTACGTTTACACTTTTTATCATTTCTTTTTTCCATTTTATTGTTGTATCCCTATGTAGCCCCCAGGGCAAGTAAATTTAACAAATAAACCAGCAAATATCTTCCAACTAGCTGTAAATAAAATAATGATAAAAGCAATTGCAAAAAAGGACTAGTAAAAGTCAGCAGAATATTGTACTTTCAATCCAAATTCCCAAAGATATTTTTCCATTAAGCGACAGAATTTGGTTCTACATTTAGGCAAGAAAAACCAAAGGTACAGGTATAGTATAAGGGGTACCTTGCTCAATAGTAGTAACTGTGAAAGGGATCTCGGAGTCCTAGTGGGCAATACCTTAAATATGAGCCAGCTGTGTGCTGCAGCTGCCAAAAAAGCCAACTCAGTGCTGGGCTGCATTAACAGAGGGAGAGAATCAATATTACGTGAAGTGTTAATACCACTTTACAAGGCCTTGGTAAGGCCACACTTGGAATACGGCATCCAGTTTTGGTCACCACGATGTAAAAAAGATGTTGAGACTCCAGAAAGAGTACAGAGAAGAGCAACAAAGATGATTAGGGGAACTGGAGGCTAAAATATACAAAGAATGGTTGCTGGAATTGGGTATGTCTAGTTTAACGAAGAGAAGGACAGGGGGGGGGGCATGATGGCAATCTTCCAATATCTCAGGGGCTGCCCCAATGAAGAGGCAGTCAAGCTATTCTGCAAAGCGCCTGAAGGCAGAACGAGAAGCAATGGATGGAAACTAATCAAGGAGAGAAGCAACTTAGAACTAAGGAGAAACTTCCTGATGGTTAGAATAATTAACCAGTGGAACTCCCTGCCTCCAGAAGTTGTGAATGCTCCAACACTGGAAGTTTTTAAGAAGAGACTGGACAGCCATTCATCTGAAATGGCTTTCCTGCTTAAGCTGGGGGTTCGGCTAGATGACCTCCAAGGTCCCTTCCAATATTATTATTATTATTATTATTAATCTATCCCCACTGGCCTTTTTCAGGGACCATTTAACAGACTGAATGGGGTCAAACAGTTTCCCAAATCTGGCATTCTATACAGGTCCTTCACTACAACTCCCATCATCCAGCTACAGATAATAATAATAATAGTAGTAAAGTTGGAAGGGACCTTGGAGGTCATCTAGTCCAACCCCCTGCTCGGGCAGGAAACCCTACACCATTTCGGACAAGTGGCTGTCCAGTCTCTTCTTAAAAACTTCCAGTGTTGGAGCATTTACTGCTTCTGGAGGCAAGCTGTTCCACTGATTAATTATTCTAACCAGATAGACTGATCTTAAAAAGCACACCTTATAAGAAAGGTGCATAGTCTTATAGAATATGAACATTTGATATATACAAACAGCACATATCAGAAAATAAATTTAGTTGCCCGCTCTCCAAGTGAAACATGTACACGACACACACCTAAACATACTATATACAACATAGGTATGGACCCACACCCCTACATATGCATAACAAATAAATATTAAACACTGGATAAGGGTGAGGACTGATTGTAAGTCTCTTTTTTAAGTAACGGTCACTAGGCAAGTGGCGGTAAGTAGTTTTAATTCTAATTTTCTAAATTCTTCTCTTAACAACACTGTTGTCTCTTTTCTTTGTGGGTTTTTTTTTTCGCCACGTATGTTATCGCTACGCCTCGAAAATATCCTTTGGCTGCATCCCATACATTTTGTATTGTTGTATCTTCTTTTCTATTCCATTTCTTTCGTTGCTAACTCTATACATTCTTTCTCTTTCAACATAGATTGGTTCAAAGCCCATCTTAATTTTGTCTGCATTCCTTTCCGCAACATTTTTAAAGGATTAGGATCTGCCCAGGTGCCTAATTCTATTTTAGCTTCCTGCATATTAACCCTTGCTTCAGGTGTCGTCCAAATCATATCAGTTCTAGACCAAGATTTATGACGATTAGAATAAAACGTGTATTGTAATTTTCCTGGCTTCGTTTCTCTCCAAATATCTTGTGCACCAATTTCCTCTTTATCATGTCGCAAAAAAGCTTTAGGTTATTTTTTTCCTCTTCCTTGTTTCCCTGATTTACTACTAATTGGAGTTTTCAATGCAATAGTAGACAAGACGTTAGATTAACTGTCTATTGGATGTTCTTTCAACCGAATAAAGAATATAAAAAGATTTGAAGTTCTCTCTCTAGGATGTGAACTCCGCAGAAATATCACCTTTGATTTACACTCTGCCCGTGGTTCTGGGGAAATTATTGCTTGTTTTTTTTTTTTCTCAGTTCTCTAGATGAGAGGAATCAGATTTTTTTTCCCTTGCTCAAAAAGCTTGTTAAAATAAAATCGATCCTTCTCTTCAAATAGGTATCCCCCTGCATGTAGGCGCAGTCTCTAGAGATTGTGCTCAGTTGCAGCCAAAGTGCACAAAGAGAATTTTTGCCCGTTTTCGTTTCATCTGACAGCCCCTGCATAACAATTTACATCTTCTCTCTACTACATCCTACTTTTCAGGTGGAAGCTGGAACAAAATGACTCGCAAGATGAAGCTTTAGAGGGAAGTTTTGAGATGAGGAATCGTGACTGTTATTTCCACACACACACACCCCCATGCATTCCTATTAGGGTCTCACAGCCACAAAGCTATATAAACCAAGGCTCTATTTGCCTGCTTATAACTATTTTTCCACATGATTTACTAACTTAAAATCAACGAGAATCCAATGCTCCCATGATTATAATCCCTGACATATCTTGCTATGAATCGCTAAACCTAAAACACAGGTAGTCAGAATAGAATAGAATAGAATAGAATAGAATAGAATAGAATAGAATAGAATAGAATAGAATAGAATAGAATAGAATAAGAACAGGAATAGAATAAGAACAGGAATAGAATAAAATAGAACAGAACAGAGAAGAACAGAACAAGGAATAGAATAGAATAGAATAGAATAGAATAGAATAGAATAGAATAGAATAGAATAGAATAGAATAGAATAGAAGCTGGAAGGGACCTTGGAGGTCTTCTAGTCCAGCCCCCTGCTCAAGCCAGAGAAACGATACCCTTTCAGAGAAGTGATTGTCCAATCTCTTCTTTAAAATCTCCAGTGATGGAACGCCCACGATTTCTGGTGGCAAGCTGTTCCACTGGTTAACTGTCTTCACTGTCAGGAAGTTTCTCTTTAATTCCAGGTTGCTTCTCTCTTTGATCAGTTTCAAATCATTTCTCATCCTTCTCTCAGATGCTTTGGTGAACAACCTGACCCCCTCTTCTTTGGGGCAGCCCCCCAAATACTGGAAGACTGCTATCAGGTCACCCCTATTTCTTCTTTTCTTTAGACTAGCCAAACCCAAATCCCACAGCCGTTCTTCATATGTTTTAGCACCCAGGCCTTTGATCATCTTAGTTGTTCTTCTCTGAATTTTTTTCCAAACTCTTAACGTCTTGTGTGTGTGTGTGTGTGTGTGTGTGTGTGTGTGTGTGTGTGTGATATGGTGATCAAAATTGGCTGCAGTATTCCAGGCGTGGTCCTCAACTTACAACTACTGTCTCTTCCAACTCTGTCATTCTGTTTAAAAAATACACAGGAATGCATTCGTGTCCAGAACATCTATTGCAGCCAATTCGTTTTAGAGGTGCAAAATATATCTTACGGTTTCTCGAGATTCTGGAAAAGAAAGTGGGATCTGATAAATTAGAATGGAACAAGAGTTGCCTCCAGAAGTTGTGGGAGCTGCTTCACTGCAGGCTTTCAAGAAGAGACTGGACTGCCATCTGTCAGGAATGGTGAAGGGTCTCCTGCTTGGACGGGGGGGGGGGGTGGACTAGATGACCTACAAGATCCCTTCCAACTCTATTATTCTATTCTATTCTATTCTATTTGTAATTCTATTCTATTTGTAATTCTATTCCTATTCCTATTCTATCTGTAATTCCATTTGTAAATCTATTCTATTTGTAATTCTATTCTATTCTGTTCTATTCCATTCTATTTGTAATTCTATTCTATTTGTAATTCTATCTGTAATTCTATTCTAATTGTAATTCTATTCTAATTGTAATTCTATTCTATTCCATTCCATTCTATTTGTAATTCTATTCTATTTGTAATTCTATTCCTATTCTATCTGTAATTCTATTTGTAAATCTATTCTATTTGTAATTCTATTCTATTCCATTCTATTTGTAATTCTACTCATTTGTAATTCTATCTGTACTTCTATTCTAATTGTAATTCTATTCTAATTGTAATTCTATTCCATTCCATTCCATTCTATTTGTAATTCTATTCTATTTGTAATTCTATTCCTATTCTATCTGTAATTCTATTTGTAAATCTATTCTATTTGTAATTCTATTCTATTCCATTCTATTTGTAATTCTACTCATTTGTAATTCTATCTATAATTCTATTCTAATTGTAATTCTATTCTAATTGTAATTCTATTCTAATTGTAATTCTATTCCATTCCATTCTATTTGTAATTCTATTCTATTTGTAATTCTATTCCTATTCCTATTCTATCTGTAATTCTATTTGTAAATCTATTCTATTTGTAATTCTATTCTATTCCATTCTATTTGTAATTCTATTCTATTTGTAATTCTATCTGTAATTCTATTCTAATTGTAATTCTATTCTATTCTAGTCTATTCTATTCCATTCCATTCTATTTGTAATTCTATTCTATTTGTAATTCTATTCCTATTCTATCTGTAATTCTATCTGTAAATCTATTCTATTTGTAATTCTCTTCTCTTCTCTTTTCTTCTCTTCTCTTCTCTTCTCTTCTATTCTATTCTATTTTATTCTATTCTAAGAGGACTTTGCAGAGGTATGACGGGCAAAGCTGACACTCTCCTGTGATCTATTTTTTTTCCTTCCCTAGACCCACCCTGAGCCTTTCGCCAAATGGAATCCTGCAACTTCACGGGCGGTTCTGTTCCGTACTTCTGGCTTGTGGGCTTCCCCAGCCTGCAGGACCACCAGTTCCCCCTCTTCTTCATCTTCCTCGCCTTCTACCTGCTCATCCTTTCCAGCAACGTCACCATCATCGCGGCCGTGGCCACCGACCCCAAGCTCCACAAGCCCATGTACTTTTTCCTGACCAACCTTTCCATCTTAGACATCCTGCTGACCACCATCACCATTCCCCAAATGCTGGCCATGTTCTCGGTCAACGCCAGGTCCATCTCCTCCAAGGGCTGCTTCCTGCAGATGTACTTCTTCCACGGACTGGCAGTGACCGAGACCTTCCTCCTGGTGGTCATGTCCTACGACCGCTACGAGGCCATCTGCCACCCCTTGCACTACGCGGTCCGGATGACCAGGCAGAAGAACGCGCAGCTGGCGGCCGGTGCCTGGTTCTTCGCCCTGCTGGTCCCCATCCCGCCGGTGGTCCAGTCGTCGCAGCTGACCTTTCGCAAGAGGCCCAGGGTCAACCACTGCTTCTGCGACCACCTGGCGGTGGTCCAGGCTGCCTGCCAAAATGCCTACACCACTTTCCAGAGTTTTATGGGCTTCACCATTTCCATGACCGTCGCCTTCGGCCCGCTGCTGCTCGTGGTCATCTCCTACGCCTGCATCATGGTCTCGGTCTTGCAGATCCGGTCCAAAGAAGGGCGCAGGAAGACTTTCTCCACGTGCTTCTCCCACCTGGTGGTGGTCATCACGTATTATTCCTCCATTGCTCTGGCTTTCCTCTCCTACCGGGTCGAGATGTCCAGCGACATTCACATTCTGAGCGACATGACTTTTTCTATTTTAACCCCTTTGGTGAACCCTCTCATTTACACTCTGAGGAACAGGGACATTAAGAGGGCGGTGAAGCAGTTGGCTTCCTCCAAAATCTTCTCCACACAGAAGGAGAGACTCTGTGTAGACCAAGTGGAGATCAAGGAGATTTAAAACCGGGTTTTAATTAATGTGACTTTTCTATTAGTGGAGCCCTTTAACTGAAATTAGATTTCTGTGTGCCTAATTACATTCGCTCCAGGACGTATTAGTCTTTTTTGACTAAGAGCCACTAAATTGTTGTATATTTTGGAGATGCGGTTTGTTGAAAAACAGCATTCAAACATGTGATGTTTTATTTTATGCCTATTGCACAGTAGCTATGGCGAATCTAGACAGCATACTAAAAAGCAGAGACATCACCCTGCCAACAAAAGTGCGTATAGTCCAGGCCATGGTTTTCCCAGTTGCAATGTATGGCTGTGAAAGTTGGACCATAAGAAAGGCTGAGCGCCAAAGAATGGAGGCCTTTGAACTCTGGTGCTGGAGAAGACTCCTGCGAGTCCCTTGGATTGCAAGGCGTTCAAACCGGTCAGTCCTAGAAGAGATCAACCCCGACTGCTCTTTAGAAGGCCAGATCCTGAAGTGGAAACTCAAGGAATTTGGCCACCTAATGAGAAGGAAGGACTCGCTGGAGAAGAGCCTGATGCTGGGAAAGATGAAGGGCAAGAGAAGAAGGGGACGAAAGAGAAGGAGGTGGCTGGATGGAGTCACTGAAGCCAGGAGGCGTGAGCTTCAATGGACTCCAGAAGATGGTAGAGGACGGGAAGGCCTGGAGGAACGTGGTCCATGGGCTCGCGATGGGTCGGACACAACTTCACACCTAACAACAACATTGCACTGCATTAAGAAGAGACTGGATAGTCACTTGTCTGAGATGGTATATGTTCTCCTGCTTGAGCAGGGGGCTAGACTAGAAGACCTCCAAGGTCCCTTCCAGCTCTATTCTATTCTATTCTATTCTATTCTATTCTACTGTATTCTATTCTATTCTATTCTATTCTATTCTATTCTATTCTATTCTATTCTATATTTCCTATTCTCTTCTCTTCTACTCTCTTCTACTCTACTCACTCTATTGTATTCTATTCTGTTCTATTCTATTCTATTCTCTATTTCCTATTCTCTTCTCTTCTACTCTACTCTACTCTACTTACTCTACTCTACTCTGTTCTATTCTATTCTATTCTATTCTATTCTATTCTATTCTATTCTATTCAGAATCCTTGCCACGATCTTTGATTTTCAGGAATCTTTGGGGTTTTTTGTTTTGTTTTGTTTTGTTTTCATCCCTATCATGGATGTTTTAATTGCAAGTTTCTTTATCTGGAGGTTGGAAATCCTTTAAAGTAAATTTTAATTTCCTCCAGATGTTATTTATAAATCAAAGAGAGGTGTCTTACATTTGCTGATAAGCCTAGAAGGTGTTGAAGACAAAGCCATCAGGATGAAGGCTAGAAGAATCTGGGCATTTTGCAGTTAGACAACATCAAGCATGGGCAAATTAAAATTTAATAAAGAATGCATCCAAAGAAGCAACCTAGAACTAAGGAGAAACTTCCTGACAGTTAGAACAATTAACCAGTGGATCAACCTGCCTCCAGAAGTGGTGAGTGCTCCATTATTGGAGGCTTTTAAGAAGAAACTGGACAGCCATTTGTCTGAAATGGTATAGGGTTTCCTGCCTGAGCAGGGGGTTGGACTAGATGACCTCCAAGGTCCCTATTATTATTATTATGGATCATCGCACAGTCAGCCAGATGTTCAGACTGGATTTGGCATTTTGTCTACCTATCGAGTCCTTACCCAGGACCTGGGATAGGCAGATGTGGATGTTTGATGGTATTACAGATATCGTCGCAGGATGGAAGCAGTTCCTAGTAAGGCCGCCTTTTGCAATTGACTAATAGCGAATTTGTCAATGCCAATGGTGTTCAAGTGGTGCTCCAGTTGTTTTGGGATTGCACCCAAGGAGCCTATGACTATTGGTACTACCCTTGCTTGCTTTTGCCACAGTCTTTCTATTTCTATTTGTAGGTCTTTGTATTTTGTTATCTTCTCCAGTTCTTTCTCTTCTATTCTGCTGTCTCCAGGCACTGCCACATCCACTATCCAGACTTTTTTGTCTTTCTTATCGACAATTGTTAAGTCTGGGGTGTTATGTTGCAGGTGCTTGTCTGTTTGAATTCTGAAGTCCCAGAGCAGTTTATTTTTATCATTTTCTATGACTTTCTCTATTTTATGATCCCACCAGTTTTTGCTTACAGGCAAATGATATTTTTTGCAGATCTTCCAATGCACCATTGTTGCTACTTTGTCATGCCGCTGCTTGTAATCAGTCTGTGCAATCTTCTTGCAACAGCTTACCAAGTGGTCCACTGTTTCTTCAGCTTCTTTGCATAGGCGGCACTTACTGTCTGTTGCTGTCTTCTCAATTTTGACTTTGTATGCATTTGTCCTTAAGGCTTGGTCTTGTGCAGCCAGAATTAGTCCCTCGGTCTCTTTCTTCAATTTTCCTGCTCTTAGCCATTGCCAGGTTTTATTATTATCTGCTTTCCCAGCTATTTTTTTCATGTATTGGCCATGTAGTGCTTTGTCTTCCCATGCCTCTATTCTGTTCTTCATTTGGTCTTTCTTGTAGGCCAGTTTGGTCTCTCCAGTAGTTAGTAAGCCTTCCTGATATACTAATTTCAGTGCATCTTCATCATTGTTCTTCAGATATTCTTCCAAAGCCATTTTTTCTTCTTCAACCATCTGATGTACTTGTAGCATTCCACGCCCACCTATTTGCCTTGGTAGATAAAGTCTATCAATGTCACTGCGTGGATGAAGGGCATGATTCATTGTCATTATTTTTCTGGTCTGCCTATCCATTGCTTTTAGTTCTGCTTGAGTCCAGTCCACTATTCCAGCTGTGTACCTAATGACTGGGATTGCCCAGGTGTTGATTGCCTTTATGGTATTTCCTCCATTGAGTTTGGACTTTAAGATCTTCTTCACTCTCTTGATGTATTCACCTCTAATCTTTTTCTTGACTTCAGTGTGCTTGATGTTGTCAGCTTGAAGGATACCCAAGTATTTGTAGTACTCTTCCTCATCCAGACTCTTAATGTTATTTTTGTGGGGCATCTTGATTCCTTCAGTTTTCACTATTTTTCCTTGTTTGATAGTAAGTGTGGCACATTTGTCCAAGCCAAACTCCATTACAATATCTTGGCTATATATACGGACAGTGTTGAGCAGCGATTCTATTTCAGATGATGTTTTTCCATACAGCTTCAGATCATCCATGTAAAGGATGTGGGATAGTCTAGCAGATGTTTTTGATGTTTGATAGCCATGTCCTGAGTTATTCAGTATTGTTGACAGAGGAAACAGTGCAATAACAAATAGTAATGGTGATAATGAATCTCCTTGAAATATTCCTCTCTTGATATTAATCTCTCCCAGCTTCTCACCATTGATTTGCAACTGTGTCTTCCATTGTGCCATCGATCTTTGCACAAATTTTCTGATGTTTCTACTGACTCCTGTTATTTCTAGGCACTTTATTATCCAATCATGTGGCAGAGAGTCAAATGCCTTTTTGTAGTCAATCCATGCCACATTCAGGTTGGTCTTCCTTCTCTGGCAGTTTTCCAAGATCATTTTGTCTATTAGGAGTTGATCTTTTGTTCCTCTGCTATTGGGGCGGGTTCCTTTCTGCTCAGGTGGAAAGAGATTGTTTTCAACTAGATGCTGTTGTACTGCATCAGCTATCACACCAGTTAGTAATTTGAAAGTTGTTGGTAAGCAGGTAATTGGCCTGTAGTTACCTGGTGTTGCCCCTTTTGCTGGATTTTTCATTATTAGATAGGTTTTCCCAGTTGTTAGCCACTTTTCAATTTCTCTTCCTTGTAGTATATTGTTGAACTGTTTGGCAATGAGTGGGTGTATAACAGTTAGATGTTTCAACCAAAACCCATGCAGTTCATCTTCACCTGGTGCTGACCAATTTTTGATTTTCCTTGCTCTTTTTTCTACCATTTTTGTTGTTATTACTAGTTCTTTAATTTCAACTTCTGTTTTATTTGCATCCACCTCTTTTAACCAAGCCGCATCCTTGTTGTATTTCTTTGGGTTATCCCATATCTGCTTCCAGAACTGCACTGTTTCTTCCTGGTCAGGTACTGACTGATTCATTGCAGTTTCTCCATTGATGGATTGGTAGAAACATTTCTGATTGGATTGAAATTGGAGGTTCTGCCTATAGTTTGCAATTCGAGCTTCATATATACTGATTTTCCTGGCTATAGCTGTTATTTGTTGCTTTATTATTTCCAGTGCTTCCTTGATCTTCCTTGTTTCTAAGTGGTATTTCGTGATTAGGTATTCTTTGGTTTTCTTGTTCTTCAGCTTCTTTTCTTTCATCTGTTCTAGCTTGCTTGCATGTGATCTTAACTTGCTGATCTTATTTTCTAGTCTAACCTTCCATTTTTCTGGTGCACTGTTTGTTTGTTTTTCTGCTTTGTTGATTTTGCATCCCAGGTATTCTGTTATAACTGCAGCTGTGCTGTACATTAGTTGGTTGGTTTCTTGCAGTGAATTGGTGCTTATACTTGCTATTGCAGTATTTGCATCTTTTAATGCTTGTGCTAGCTGTTTCTTTGAAACAAGCTTCAATGCAGGCAGCCTTATTCTGTTGTTTTTGTGCTGTTCTAGATGCTCAGTTATTCTTTGTTTCAATTCTTTTATTTCTTTAGTTAGAGGGTTTTGTTCATTATTATTATTATTATTATTATTATTATTATTATGGATCATCGCACAATCAGCCAGATGTTCAGACTGGATTTGGCATTTTGTTTATTATTATTATTATTATTATTATTATTATTATTAATAATAATAATAATAATAATAATCATAGAGTTGGAAGGGACCTCAGAGGTCTTCTAGTCTAACCCCCTACTTGAACAGGACACCTTATTCGATTCTAGATTAACGCTGTCCAATCTCTTCTTTAAAACCTCCAGTGTTGGAGCATTCACCGCTTCTGGTGGCAAGTCGTTCCACTGGTTAATTGTCCTCACTGTCAGGACATTTCTCCTTAGTTCCAGGTTGCTTCTCTCCTTGGTGAGTTTCCATCACTGTCCATTTTGAACACATAGCGAGAAGAGGACGCTTGAGAGTTTGCAAGGTGGATGCTGTATGGAACAAAAGTGTGACTGAATGCCCCCTCCTCCCAGGTTGTGAAAACAGGTTGTGAAGAGTGTGTGTAGTGTCCCAGACAATCCTGCGGACCCTGCTCAAGCGTCGTTTACATGCTATGTCCTGAACAGAAGGAAGAATTTCATAACATCTGCACAGACGTAACCATAGTTCCAGCTGAGAAATTGTGAGCATCCTGGGCCAAGCCAAATCCCAAAATGCCGGAGAATTCCTGGCCCTCAGACAAATCCTCCAAAGACACACACATAGAGATACACAACATCTGCATACCACGGAAAAGAGACAGTCAAAATGCTAAAGAACCACAACACTTCTTTGACAGTAATCAGCACCCAGATGAGCCTAGTCCAGGAGTAGGCAACCTTGGCTCTTTCATGACTCTTGGACCAACTCCCAGAATTCCTGAGCCAGCATGGGGAACTTTGGCCCCTTCGTGACTCGTGGATTTCAGCTCCCAGAATTCCTGAGCCAGCATGGGGGAACTATGGCCCCTTCATGATTCTTGGACTTCAACTCCCAGAATTCCTGAGCCAGCATGGGGGGAACTATGGCCCCTTCATGACTCGTGGACTTCAACTCCCAGAATTCCTGAGCCAGCATGGGGGAACTATGGCCCCTTCGTGACTCGTGGATTTCAGCTCCCAGAATTCCTGAGCCAGCATGGGGGAACTATGGCCCCTTCATGATTCTTGGACTTCAACTCCCAGAATTCCTGAGCCAGCATGGGGGGAACTATGGCCCCTTCATGACTCGTGGACTTCAACTCCCAGAATTCCTGAGCCAGCATGGGGGAACTATGGCCCCCTCATGACTCGTGGACTTCAATTCCCAGAATTCCTGAGCCAGCCTGGCTCAGCTTGGAAACCTCTCCCTTTCTCCTCAGCATGGCTGGCTCAGGAATTCTGGGAGTTGAAGTCCACGAGCCATAAAAGAGACAAGGTGGCCTACCCCTGCCCTAGATGAACACCAAGATTAACAACAATACCACATTCAAGGAACTGCCAAACAAGCTCACATTAAACAGCATAACCAAAGAGCCTCTTACACCATCCCCATCAACATTGACCAGGCAAGACACTAGAATATAAATTGAGAGCAAACCTCACTCCCTTGTAGCACTGATGATGTTCCCTAGCTGGGTCATGAAACGTCTGCAAGAAAACAACCCAGCTCTGAGAACACCAAGGACCCCACTATCGTCGTTGTCGTCGTCGTCGTCGTCCTCCTCCTCCTCCTCCTCCTCCTCCTCTTCCTTTCCAAACCCCTATGAATATTCTCCTTTATCGCCATTCCCTATTTATAACAACTGAAAAAAGGAAGTCTACTCACCTATCAGGAGCTCTGTGTAGCTTCTAACGTTGTCACTATTCACATCTGGGGTTTGGGCAGCAAAGCACTTCCAACTGACAAGCGTGCGCCGGCTTTTTTTTCCCCCGGACTTCAAGCATTGCTCTCATCTCCGTCCTTTCATTTTCAACTTCTCCAGACCACCGATGAACGGAAGAGTCCCGCTCTTCGAAAGATTAGAGAAACTATTCCTTCCGTGGCCGTGCAGAGCGAGTCCTACTAACCGCGGATTTCAGGAATTTGAATTTTCCCATCCAGCGTCTTCCCTTCCTCAAGATGACCAAGACCAAGAGCACGCTTGAAAAAGAAAATTCAAGGAAATAAAATTAGAATGATGACCTCCCAAGGTCCCTTCCAACTTTATTATTATTATTATTATTATTATTATTATTATTATTATTATTATTATTATCTTTTTCTCAAAATTCATAAAAGTTCACGAGGAATGGAGACGCCGCAACGGTAGTCCTCGGCTTATGATGGTTCGCTTAGGGGCCAAACGTACAAAGAGCACTGAAAAAAGTGTTCCTCACACTTACGACTGTTTCTGCATCCCCGCGGGGTCACGTGATCAAAATTGAGACGCTCGGCAACTGGTTCATGTTTACGACCGTTGCTGGGTCCCGGGGGGGTGTCACGTGATCCCCTTTTGCGACCTTCTGGCGAGCAAAGTTAACGGGGGAAACCGGATTCATTTAACGACTGTGTGGCTAACTTCACAACTGCGGTGATTGCCTTAACAACTGTGGCATAAAACAGATCAAAATTCACTTAACAACTGTCTCACTTAGCAGTGGAAATTTTGGGCTCATTTGCGGGTCGTAAGTAGAGGACTACCTGTCTATAAAATATAACGCCCTTGTCGACTTAAAAAAAGGTGTTGATGACTAATGGACAAATGCTCTTTTGTTTTGAGGAAGCCAAGCTGGAGAACGAAATTCCTGCCAGCGTGAAAGCCGGCTGGGTGATCTTGGGCCTGCCCCATTCTCTCAGCCCAGCCCGCCTCGCAGAGCTGTTGTGGTGGGGGAAATAGAAGGAGGAAGGTAGGGTGGATATGATGAGTTACTTGTGAAAATAATGAAAAATAATTTCTTTATTTAATAAAATAAATTAAAATAAATTAAAACAAAACAAAATAAAATAAAAAATAAAATAATAAAATAATAAAATAAAATAAAGTAAAGCAAAGCAGAATAAAATAAAATGAAATGAAATAATAAAATAATATAAAATAAAATAAAATGAAATAAAATAATAAAATAAAATAAAATAGAGTAAAGTAAAATGAAATGAAATAATAAAATAAAATAAATAGAAAAAATAATACAATACAATAAAATAAAGCAAATAGAAAAAATAACAAAATAAAATAAAGTAAAATAAAATAAAATAGAAAAAATAATAAAATTAAATAGAAAAATAAAATAAAATAAAAAATAAATAGAAAAATAATGATAAAATAAAGTAAAATAAAATAAAATAAATAAAGTAAAGTAAAGTAAAATAAAATAAATAAAATATAAAATAAAATAAAATAAAATAAAATAGGGCAAGCACAAAGGGCTCTCTGGAGGCCACCTTTGCAAAACCCCATGAAGGACGGGGATGCCAAGAGGCTACCCCATTGCATGAGAATGACCTTGTGGAGCCAGCTTTTCGACAAGGGATGGCGTTCTGCACATGATCAGAGACACTCTCAGTGGATTGTTTACAGGGATGTCAAAAAAAACCCAGTCAAGGCAGGCCCAGAGCTCATATCCTAGATGGGCTGCCCTTCATTACAGCGACCGTGTTTTCTTGCCAGAAAATAAAGGCTAGGCCTCAAAAGGTTTGGACAAATCTGAAAGAAATAATAAAGATGTCAATTCTGTATGTTTATATCTTGATGGAGGAAAATTCCAGAGCCAAAGCAAGGAAATCCATCATGAAATGAAATAAATCTAAGGGGCAGCTTTCCTCCCCCCCCCCAAAAAAAGTAAGAGAAAATGAAGTAAGATGAAATAAAGACTTGTCCTTGAAAATAAAGGACGTGTGTTCCCGGCGCTGAGCAGATCCCAAGTAAATATATATATTTATTTGCTAAATTGACAACGCTGCCCATTTCACAGTTCGCTGGGTAGGGCTTTGGTTGGGCGGTCCCAGCCGCCATCTTGACTTTTTTGACCCCCCCCCTGCTTTACCCAAGTTTGCTCTTCTCCCTTTAGACAGACCAGCCCTTGCTTTTCTCTTCAGAAGGGATAGCACTCTGCACATGCCTTGAGGAAATGGCTCAGCAGGCCCTTTCGGGGGGGGGTCACCTAGAGGGGGAGGAAGTGCCTGCCGTCGGAGGGAAGCTGCAACTCCAGAGACCCCCAACGCTGGGAGGGGGGGCTGCCGCCCCAGAGGGCTCTGAACCCACTTAATCAAGGGGTCACAGAGGCCTGGATGCTCCTGCCAGCGGCCTGGCAGTTGCCTTCATCCCTCTGGCTGCTGCTTGGTTGCCCCGGGCAACGGCCCACAGTGAGAGGAAGGCCAGGCAGAGGACCACTGTAGGCGGGGCTAGACCAGAGGGGGTGGGGCCTCCACCTGGGGCAGGTGGATGCTCTTAGTCCTTTTCCCAGCAGATTTCAACTCCCAGAATTCCCCAGCCAGCACAGATGAACCTCAACTCCCAGAATTCCTCAGCCAGCACAGGTGGACTTTGACTCACAGAATTCCTTTTTTTAAAAAAAAAAAAAATCAGTTTAATTACAGTACTGGGTTCTATTGTCGCCTTGCAATTTTGGTGCGTTATCTCTTTTTTCCATACGATGATTATTACTACTACATCTAAGTTGTTACCTTTATTTCCATATTATCATCAATCCTATTCATATTATAATACTACTACGCTACTACTACTGCACCAGTACTACTTCACTACAGTATTACTGGTAATTGGTTGTGTTAACTATTCTTACTAGTCTGGTTACAATTTTGATTTTAAACATTCCTGCTGTGGAGATTTTAATTAATTTCATCGGATTGCTTTTTTTATTTTCAGACGATGTGCTTTCTGCCAGATCAACAAAGATCCCACATGCCCTTTGAACTTTTTCTTCCAGAGTTACTGTTAACTATTCTCCTGTTTGTCATTTTTTTTCTCCAGTTTTTATTTATTAATAGTGTATTATTGCTCTAGTTAGTGGCTCCATGAGTTTAACGTTTGTGAAATTTACATCCTGGTTTTCTCTAATCAATTGATCTGGCAATATGCAAACAGAATAAGTAAGCAAATAAATTTAGCAATACAGATCTAAAACAAGTAAACAAATAAATTGACAATATGCAAATGGATAAGCGAGCAAGTAAAGTTGGCAATACGCAAATAGATCAAGGAAGCAAATAAATCTGATATTATGCAAATAGAAAAAGTAAATAAGTAAAACCAGTTTTATCCACAAACCAAGCCTGGGAATTAGGGCTAAATTATAATTAATGTAGTTTGTTCAGTTTAGGCACCGTCTAATTCCGAACTGACTCTATGCAATAGAAATAGAAAATACAATTTCAGCAAAATTGTATCAAAAGAATGAAAGCACTGGCCGATTTCTCTGAAAAATGCAACCTTCCTTAGCAGGCTTTTGAAATTGCACTATGTGTTTTAATGGCCAGAGTTTTCAAATCAAAAAATAACAATGCCCACCATCCTGATTATCCTATTTTTATTATTAGCTCTTATATCTGTCCTTCTCTTTCAAGGCTCGAGGCAGCTTCCTGGCTATTTCCCCTAATTTTGCCCTCACAACAATCCTGTGAGGTAGGAAGGGGACTATAAATTACCCAGAAGGCTCTGCAGCTTTGCCTCCTTTCCTGTCTACTGGGAGATGCATGCAGCTGTCATTGGAAGCCAGGGAAGAGGTGAGGCTTGGACTTGAGTGGCAGTTGAAAGGGCGGGGCATGAGGGAGGCGGGATGTGGCCGCTTCTCAAGAACATGAAGGGGGCGGGGCCTCCATTGAAAGGCAGCCGAGTTAAGGAGCCAATGAGAGAGGGGGGGCGGGTCCAGAAGGAGTGGGCTTTGGTCCTGAGTGGCCATTGAAACTTAGAATCTGAGGAGGCGGGGCTTTTCTCATCTGAGCTGCTGAGGGGTGGGGCTTCAGGGCAGGTGACAGTTGGAACCCTGAGGAGGGAGGAGCCTAAGCAAAATGGCGGAGGGGGAGCACCTCTTTTCCTGGTGGAGGCTGGGGGCTCCACGTTTGGGGGCGGTGCTGCCGCTCCTCTTCTTCCTCAGCCCTGGTGGGTGCAAAGAGTGGGGGAAACGACCCCCCCACATGTCAGTTTACCCCCCCTTGGGGGACTGCACATGTGTGTGCACTCACATGCCAATGACATATGTGTAAATGCTCAAACGGACACTCTATTGTAGAGGTAGTCCTCAACTTACGACCCCATCTGAGCCCAACATTTACGTTGCTAAGCGAGACAGTTGTTAAGGGAATTTTGCCCAATTTTATGACCTTTTTGGTCCACAGTCCTTAGCAACCTGATTGTTAAATGAATAAGGCTTCCCCCCATTGACTTTGCGTGTCAGAAGGTCGCAAAAGGGGATCACGTGACCCCCCCCGGGGACGCTACAACCCGTCATAACTAGGAGTCAGTTGCCAAGCGTCTGAATTTTGATCACGTGACCACAGAGATGCTGCAACGGTCGTAAGTGTGAAAAACGGTCATAAGTCAATGCCATTGTAGCCTTGGTCACTAAACAAATCATTGTGAGTCGAGGACTACCTATAAAACGGGCATTGGGTGTGTCTAGTTTAATGATGAGAAGGACCAGGGGTGACATGATAGCAAGTCTTCCAATACTACATTATTGTCTGAAATGGTATAGGGTTTCCTGCCTGAGCAGGGGTTGGACTAGATGACCTCCAAGGTCCCTTCCAACTTTATTGTTGTTATTATCATTATTAGTTAAGGAGCTGCCACAAAGAAGAGGGGGGGGTCAATTTATTCTCCAGGCAGGACAAGAAGCCATAGATGGAAACCGATCAAGGAGAGAAGCAACCTGGAACCGAGGAGAAAATTCCTAAGAGTGAGGACAATTAGCCAGTGGAACTGCTTGCCACCAGAAGTTGCAGGCGCTTCATCACTGGAGGCTTTCAAGAACAAACTAGACAGCCATTTGTCTGGAATGATTCTAGGGTTTTCTTCCTGAGCAGGGGGTTGGACTAGAAGACCTCCGAGGTCCCTTCCGCAAGGCTTCCGTTAAGGCAGAAAAATAATTAAAATGTTAAAGCATTAGAACTACACAGATTAAGGTTTTAAAAACTAGACTGAAACCGGAACGAAGACATGGACTGGATGGGGGGGGGGGGAATGAGGTTTTCTTACCCCATCACTACCTCAAGCAGTGCGTTGCTCCTCGGGGCCCCAGTCCCACCGTCAACACCATGTCAATCCTGCAAATATTAATTTCTCTTTTCTCTGTATTTTCTTTATAGGTTTCGTCCGCACATTTTCGACATACCTTTACTCAGAAGTAATAGAACCCCTGCAGCTGGAAACAAATTCTCATTACAACAGCAAGGTCAGTTGTGTTTTGATTCATTACTGTGCACATAATCCCGCCCCTGCCTGATTTGCACATAAATCATCATCCGTAGCTGTCAAGCCACAATGGTTGCGTTCCTGTACTAAGTTCAGGCAAAACAAGAAATGAATCACCAAGAGGACTGCAAAAAAGAACTGGCCGTTCTTCGTTCCAGTGGTTGGTTTTGGAAGATCTTAGCTATTGCAATTGATAAACCATGGTTTAGGTTTTCTCTAATAAGCCAACCATTCTCTTGCGTTCCGGTCAAAAGAGGGATATACAGATTTTGGTTTCTCAAGAACGTGCTCCCACTTCTAAAAATCCAAAAATGTGGTGATTGAGAACTCTTGGAGCACAACGAAGTGAAAATTCCTGTTTAGCTCTTCATTAACTAGTTTAGTTTAGTGTAGTGTAGTGTAGTGTAGTGTAGTGTAGTGTAGTGTAGTTTAGCTTAGCTTAGCTTAGCTTAGTTTAGTTTAGTTTAGTATTTTACTGTGTTCTGATTGGTTGGGGGCTTGACACACCTCCACCCAATCAGAACACAGCCAAGCTCCCACCCAATCAGTTCATACCCCCACTGGCAGTTAAAAGGAAGAAACAGCTACGATCACTCATTGCTCCTAGAAGCACGAAGCCAAAAACACCAGCCTGAAGATGACGAATGGGACTTTGTCGAAACGTCGCCAAGACACTTCCAATTTGACGCGGGAGAAAACCCGAATAACCAAAGACCTACATACAAACACCCGCGAAAATCTCAGAAAACAAATACACACACACACACGCACACATACACACACATATATGTCAAATTTGGATTGCCAATAAAGAATTAAAGGGAGACTAGTATAGCTATTGCGAGCTATTTAGCTCTCATCAGCTAGCCATACATCTCAAAAGGGTATATATATTCTCCAGAACTTTCATAGATAAGCACCCTGCAAATGAGCACACAAATCGTTATTCGCAGTGGCATTAAAAAGAACAGGGGGATCAAAATATTAATGAACCCTTTTGCATTTTCTCCATCTACCTTCAGGCATATTTGAGTTACATGATTAAGATGGAAGGGCAATACAAAATTGTGCATCTGAAACAACAGTAAGTGGCTGTTTTGTTTTAATGGGCTGTGTGGGACTGCCTGATGAATTGTGTTTACATCCTTCTAGATTTAACAAAAGCAACTCCCGGTGGTTGATGTCATAAAACATAAAAACAAACTCAAAACTTTTTTTAAATAAAAAAATCTCATAAATAACCATAAGTGGAAAATGTAAATGTAATGAAGACAATGCATAGAATCATAGGGCTGGGAGGGACCATGGAGGTCTTCTAGTCCAGCCCCCTGCTCAAGCAGGAGACGCTATACCATGTCAGACAAGTGGCTGTCCAGTCTCTTAAAAGCCTCCAGTGATGGAGCACCCACAATTTCTGGTGGCAAGCTGTTCCACTGGTTAATTGTTCTCACTGTCAGGAAGTTTCTCCTTAATTCCAGGTTGCTTCTCTCTTTGGTTAGTTTCCACCCGTTGCTTCTTCTCCTGCCTTCAGGGGCTTTGGAGAATAGCTTGACTCCCTCTTCTTTGTGGCAGCCCCTCAAATATTGGAAGGCAACTATCATCTCCCCCCCCCCAATCCTTCTCTTTGTTTGACTAACAAAATAACAGAGTTAGAAGGGATCTTGGTGGTCTTCTAATCCACCCCCTGCTCAGGCAGGAAACCCTATAACACTCCAGACAAATGGTTGTCCCGTCTCTTCTTAAAGCCCTCCAGTGATGGAGCACCCACAACTTCTGGTGGCAAGCTGTTCCACTGGTTGATTATCCTCACTGTCAGGAAGTTTCTCCTTAGTTCCAGGTTGCTTCTCTCTTTGGTGAGTTTCCATCCATTGCTTCTTGTCCTGCCCTCTGGTGCTTTGGAGAATAGTTTGATCCCCTCTTCTTTGTGGCAGCCCCTCAAATATTTGAAGGCTGCCAAAAAAGCCAACACAGTGCTGGGCTGCATCAACAGAGGGATAGAATCAAGATCAGGTGAAGGGTTAATACCACTTTATAAGGCCTTGGTAAGGCCATACTTGGAATACGGCATCCAGTTTTGGTCACCACGATGTAAAAAAGATGCTGAGACCCTGGAAAGAGTGCAGAGAAGAGCAACAAAGATGATCAGGGGAGTGGAGGCTAAAACATACAAGGAACGGTTGCTGGAATTGGGTATGTCCAGTTTAACGAAGAGAAGGACAAGGGGGGACAGGATAGCAGCCTTCCAGTATCTCAGGGGCTGCCCCAAAGAAGAGGCAATCAAGCTTATTCTCCAAAGCACCTGAAGGCAGGACAAGAAGCAACGGATGGAAACTCATCAAGGAGAGAAGCAACCTGGAACCAAGGAGAAACTTCCTGACAGTTAGAACAATTAACCAGTGGAACCACTTGCCTCCAGAAGTGGTGAATGCTCCAACACTGGAAGTTTTTAAGAAGAGACTGGACAGCCACTGGTCTGAAATGGTGTAGGGTTCCTGCCTGAGCAGGGGGTTTGGACTAGATGACCTCCAAGATACTTTCGAACTCTGTTGTTGTTGTTGTTATTATCACCATGTCATCCCGGTCCTTCTCTTCATTAAATTAGATATAGCCAATTCCTTTTATTTTATTCTTGGTTAGAGGAGAGAATGAAGGATTAGGAATTGAACATGTATTAGCATAGCAAACTCCAGACAACTTGTTGATTGGAAAAATTAAATATGTTGTTGAAAAAAAATTAATAAAATTTTTTATATATTAAAAAAAAGATATAGCCAATTCCTGCCACCATTAATCTACAGTAAGGACTATGAGCAAGACAGCCAATCAGTCTGCAAAGTTTGCTCAACTTTGGGGCCCAAAATGTCTGAGGAGATTAATCCCCTTTTTTTTTACATTTTCAGATTCTTTGTCAGGGAAAATATGCCAGTTTATACTTATAATGTGAAGGGAGAGCTGGTTGCAGAACATCCATATATTCAGGTAAATTTGATGCGTGGCTGTATATCATTTTATTGGCCTCTTTTATAGTCCATAAATCTCGTATAGGTACCCACCTCAACGGATGACCATCGTGGAGCCCAAAATGTATGTTGCTAACTGAGACGTTTGTTCAGTGAGTTTTGCCCCATTTTACGACCTCACCTGCCACGTTTCCTTAAGCGAATTGCCACAGCTGTTAAGTTAGCAACACGGTCGTTAAGCGAATCCAACTTCCCCCTCGTTGACTTGGGTTGTCAGAAGGTCGCAAAAGAGGATCGTGTAACCCCCGGGACGCTGTGACCGTCGTAAATGCGAGTCAGTTATCAAGCATCCGAATGTAAATCACGTGACCCTGGGGATGCCGCGGCGGTCGTAAGTGTGGAAAATGGTTCATAAGTCACTTTTCCAGTTCCGTTGTAACTATTAGAATACACTATAGAATATCTTTATTGTCGTTGTGTAACTCACAATGAAATTAACTAAGCGAACTGTGGTGAGTCTTCTTGCCCATTTCTTCTTGCCTGATCAAAATGCTGGTTTTCTTTTCAGAGTTAGTTGGAGGAGACCTTAGAGGTCTTCTAGTCCATCCCCTTGCTTAAGCACGAGACCCCATACTATTTCAGACAAATGGTAGTCTGTCCGGTCTCCATTGCTTCTTGTCCTGCCTTCTGGTGCTTTGGAAAATGAGATGACCCCCTCCTCTTTCTGGCAGCCCCTCATATACTGGGAGACTGCTATCATGTCCCCCCTAGAATAGAATAGAGCTGGAAGGGACCTTGGAGGTCTTCTAGTCCAGCCCCCTGCTTAAGCAAGAGAACCTAAACCAGTGGTTCTCAACCTGTGGGTTGGGACCCCATTTGGGGTCGAACGACCATTTCACGGGGGTCGCCAAACAGCGCAGTCCGCCATTTTTTCCCCCTTTTCCTTAGCTGTGCTACTCCCTTGTATTCTATTGGCTTTTGAAAGCCAATAGAATAGACTCTCTTGAATAGAGTCTAATTCTATTGGCTTTCAAAAGCCAATAGAAATTGTCCAGGCTGTCTCTGCCTTGCTGAGCCCGCCAAAAGTCCCATTCTGCAAATGGTGCTGCACCAGTTGAGTAGTCCTCGACTTACGACCGGTTGAGTAGTCCTCGACTTACGACCGGTTGGGGGTCGCGGCATTAAAAAGGTTGAGAACCACTGACCTAAACCATCTGTGGCAAGTGACTGTCTAGCCTCTTCTTGAAAATCTCCAGTGATGCCCACGATTTCTGGTGGCAAGCTGTTCCACTGGTTAATTGTCCTCACTGTCAGGAAATTTCTCCTTAATTCCAGGTTAAGAATAGAATAGAATAGAATAGAATAGAATAGAATAGAATAGAATAGAATAGAATAGAATAGAATAGAAGGGACCTTGGAGGTCTTCAAGTCCAGCCCCCTGCTCAAGCAGGAGAATCTACCATCTGAGACAAGTGGCTGTCCAGTCTCTTCCTAAAAGCCTCCAGTGATGGAGCTCCTACAACGTCTGGTGGCAAGGAGTTCCACTGGTTGATTGTCCTCACTGCCAGGAAATTTCTCCTTAATTCCAGGTTGCTTCTCTCCTTGATCAGTTTCCAACCATGGTTTCTCGTCCTTCCCTCTGGTGCTTTGGAGAATAACGTGAACTTCCTTGAGCTTCACAACCAGAATCCCAAACGACAACACCCCACCAGTGGGGGAGGGTGGGGGACATATTGTTCCATAATATTTCTTGTCTCCGAAAAGCAGCTCTTAAGCTCCGAAAAATCCAAGTCAGGTGTGACAAGAGTCCTGAGCTATTTTTCCTCACCGCCGCAGATTCGAATTCTATTCTTCTGAATGGAATGACGGAAGAATCCCGTCTTGGGAATATATCGACTGAGCGAAATCTTCCATTTGAATTTATTCTGGAAATGTGTTTTCTTTTTCCTCACCCCCTCCCCGATTTTATAGGACAATTGCTATTACAGCGGCTATGTGGATGGAGTGCCAGATTCTCAAGTCGTCCTCTCCACCTGCAGTGGACTTTGGTAATGATGATGATGATGATGATGATGAGTTGGAAGGGACCTTGGAGGTCATCTAGTCCAACCCCCTACTCAGGCAGGAAACCCTATACCATTTCAGACAAATTGCTGTCCATAACAACAAGAACAACAACAATAATAATAATAATAAAGTTGGAAGGGATCTTGGAGGTCATCTAGTCCAACCCACTGCTCAGGCAGGAAACCTTATACCAGGGGTAGGCAACCTTGGCTCTTTTATGACTGGTGGACTTCAACTCCCAGAATTCCTGAGCCAGCCATGCTGAGGGGAAAGGGAGGTTTCCAAGCTGAGCCATGCTGGCTCAGGAATTCTGGGAGTTGAAGTCCACAAGTCATGAAGGAGCCATAGTTCCCCCATGCTGGCTCAGGAATTCTGGGAGTTGAAGTCCACGAGTCATGAAGGGGCCACAGTTCCCCCATGCTGGCTCAGGAATTCTGGGAATTGAAGTCCACAAGTCATAAAAGAGCCAAGGTTGCCTACCCCTGCCCTATACCATTTCAGACAAATAATAACAATAACAACAACAACAATAATATAATCTTTTATGTAAATGAATTTGTCTTCAGGGCAGTTCAGATGTCATGCCAGTTCACTTAATGGCCGTTCGAAGTTCCAACGGCCCTGAAAAAAGTGACTTGTGACCATTTTTCACACTTACGACGGTTGCAGCATCCCCAGGGTCACATGATCAAAATTCAGATGCATGGCAACTGACTCATACTTATGACGGTTGCAGTATCCCAGGGTCACGTGATCCCCTTTGGCCACCTTTGGACAAGCCTCATCAATGGGCAAACCCGGATTCACTTAACAACCGTGATATCACTTAACAACTGTGGCAAGGAAGGTCGTAAAATGCTTCTGTCTCGCTTAGCAACAGAAAGCTTGGGCTCAGCTGTGGTCCTAAGTCGAGGACTTACCTGCAGTCCTCCACGTACGACCACGATTGAGCTCAAAATTTCTGGGCTTAAGTGAAGCATCCATTAAGTGAGCTTTGCCCCCCCTTGGAATCTGAGGAGGGCAGGGGCTTGGACTTGAGTGGCAGTTGAAAGGGCGGGGCATGAGGGAGGCGGGATGTGGCCGCTTCTCAAAAACATGAAGGGGGCGGGGCCTCCATTGAAAGGCAGCCGAATTAAGGAGCCAATGGGAGAGGGGAGGCGGATCCAGTAGGCTTTCGTCCTGAGTGGCCATTGAAACTTAGAATCTGAGGAGGCGGGGCTTTTCTCACCTGAGCTGCTGAGGGGTGGGGCTTCAGGGCAGGTGACAGTTGGAACCCTGAGGAGGGAGGAGCCTAAGCAAAATGGCGGAGGGGAAGCACCTCTTTTCCTGGTGGAGGCTGGGGGCGCCATGTTTGGGGGCGGTGCTGCCGCTCCTCCTCTTCCTCAGCCCTGGTGGGTGCAAAGAGTGGAAGAAACGACCCCCCCACATGTCAGGTGCACACACAGGCTGCACCTGTGTGTGCACCCACATGCCAATGACATATGTGTAAATGCTCAAACAGATACTCTATTGTAGAGGTAGTCCTCAACTTACGACCAACATCTGAGCCCAACATTTACGTTGCTAAACGAGACAGTTAAGTGAGTTTGGCCCCATTTTACAGCCTTCCCTACCTCCGTTGTTAAGTGAATGACTTTGCTTGTCAGAAGATCGCAAAAGGGGATCACCTGACCCCGGGGCCACTGTGACCGTCATAAAGGCGAGTCAGTTGCCAAGATCTGAATTTTGATCACGTGACCACGCTGCAAAGCTCGTGAAAAGTGGCCGTAAGTCCCTTTTTTTCAATGCCGCTGTAATTTTGAATGATCGCTAAACGAACCGTCGTAAGTCGAGGACTGCCTGTATTTTAATCCACTTGAACCAACCGCGACGGAGTCTGGGCGGTTGATAATTCTTCTCCCCCCTTGCAGGGGACATATACAATTTGGCTCCTTAACCTACGAAATTCAGCCGGTTGAAAATTCCTCCACGTTCCTACACTTCATTTACCGACGGGGTCCGCAGCCGCAAGGACCCTGCGTGGGAATCGCCGAAGATGGCGCAGGCGGGCCAGGTAGAGAGGTGAGAATGGTGAGGGCTGAAGAAGATCCAGATGTTTCCTCCAGGCAGGTAAGTTGGTTTCTGGGTCTTGATCCCACTGGAGATTTTGTTGAGGGGAAAGCTTTTCGCACTAAGAACATCCGCTCCTGACAGCCCTTTGAGGTAGGCCAGCTTAAACAGTTGACATAGCAGAGTTGCCTGCATGCTCTATAGCACGGGTCCCCAAATCCCCAGGCTGTGCAAGGGACAGGCGAGCGTGCATGTGCATGCAGCTGTATTTGAGCGGGCGCAGGCATTCACACTCCAAGCTCCATTTGTGCTAGGGCCAGGCGCACACGCCCGCTGCTTTTTCCCCAGAATCAGAATACAGCTGGAAGGGACCTTGGAGGTCTTCTAGTCCAGCCCCCTGCTCAAGCAGGAGACCCTGTACCATTCCAGACAGGTGGCTGTCCAGTCTCCTCTTAAAAGCCTCCAGTGGTGGGGAAGGAAGGAAGGAAGGAAGGAAGGAAGGAAGGAAGGAAGGAAGGAAGGAAGGAAGGAAGGAAGGAAGGAAGGAAGGAAGGAAGTCATTAAACCAGGGGTAGGCAACCTTGGCTCTTTTATGACTCGTGGATTTCAACTCCCAGAATTCCTCAGCCAGCATGGGGAAACTATGGCCCCTTCATGACTCGTGGACTTCAACTCCCAGAATTCCTCAGCCAGAGTGGGGGAACTATGTCCCCTTCATGACTCGTGGACTTCAACTCCCAGAATTCCTCAGCCCATATGAGGGAAACTTTGGCCCCTTCATGACTGGTGGACTTCAACTCCCAGAATTCCTGAGCCAGCATGGGGGAACTATGGCCCCTTCATGACTCGTGGACTTCAACTCCCAGAATTCCTCAGCCAGCATGGTGTTATGTGCTCCTGGCTACTTTCCTTTGTGACCAGAGGCAAGCTCGCCTGACCAATAACCAGCCAAGACACAGTGAAGGCCTTTTGTTTCGTTTATTGCAATAAGTGGGGAGAGAAGCTTTCTAAGCTTGGTTCTCTCCAAAGTTTTAACCCAAAATATCTCCTTCTTTTATTCATCCCTATCACCGGCCGCTACAGCCCTCCTCTTTCCCCATTGGCTGAGGTACTACTATGAGGTTACACTCTTTCCGTCCGCCTATACACATTTCCTGATAACATAACTAAATCATATTCACTTATACAATAAGAATAAGAAAAATTAGACATGTAAATGGTTATTTTAAACTTAGTATATATTTATATCTCCATTTTAAACAATATGTTCTTTTCCTGCTTTTCAATTCAGTGTGCCTCTCTTCTTATCTTATTCAGCTTATTTTCCTATTCTCCATTCAACCTTCCTGGCTAGCCATTTCCTATATATTTTTATAGCTTCTCTTCTTCCTTCCTCAGACACAGCTATTTTTGCCTATATGGTTTATCTTACTTCCTTAATCTCTTCCTGACTCTCACCATCTGTATTTTTCTTATTCAATTAGTTTCCATTGTATTGTAGGTTTAACTGACTCTGAAGATTTATCATATTGATGTATATTTATCAATGGGAAAACTATGGCCCCTTCATGACTCGTGGACTTCGACTCCCAGAATTCCTCAGCCAGCATGGGGGAACTATGGCCCCTTCATGACTTGGGGACTTCAACTCCCAGAATTCCTCAGCCAGCCTGGCTCAGCTTGGAAACCTCTCTTTTCCCTCAGCATGGCTGCCTGAGGAATTCTGGGAATTGAAGTCCACGAATCATAAAACAGCCAAGGTTGCCTACCCCTGCACTAAACGAATGGCTCTAAGTCGGAAGCTACCTGCGCAGTTTTGATTTTTGCACCTGAAAAGTGTTAGAACTCTTATTTTTTAAAAGGTCCCTGGTACCCAATGCAGCCTGCAGGTCAAAAAAGTCAAGATGGTGCCCACATTGGGTTGATGCTTCCTGAGAGTTGCCAGGACATTTCGTCACCGCCTCCCTAACCGTTTCCGTCGATTTCATTCCAGCAAGCTGACCTCAACCGGACAGTCAACCGATACCTAGAATATTATGCCGTTGCCGACAAAAGCACGGTACGTTTGCCTCTGGACGTTGTAGCTTACAGGAGATCTGGAAATAAGAGAATCACAGAGGTGGGAGGGACCTCGGAGGTCATCTAGTCCAACCCCCTGCTCAAGCAGGAGACTCTGTCCTATTTCAGACAGGTGGCTGTCCAGTCTCTTCTTGAAAACCTCCAGTTATGGAGAAGAAAGGAAGGAAGGAAGGAAGGAAGGAAGGAGGGAGGGAGGGAGGGAGGGAGGGAAGGAGGGAGGGAAGGAAGGAAGGAAGGAAGGAAGGAGGGAGGGAGGGAGGGAAGGAAGGAAGGAAGGAAGGAAGGAAGGAAGGATAACAGAATAACAGAGTTGGAAGGGACCTTGGAGGTCATCTAGTCCAACCCCCTGCTCAGGCAGGAAACCGTATACTATTTCAGACAAATGGCTGTCCAGTCTCTTCTTAAAAAGTGTTGGAGCACTCACAGCTTCTAGAGGGAGGTTGTTCCGCTGGTTAATTGTTCTGACTGTCAGAAAATCCCTCAGGAACAGCTGCCAGATCCCAATGCAGCTTGCCACCCTCTGAGGTGAAAGCCACAATCTCATTTTACTCAAGGCCACTTTAACCACGCACGGCCGCTAGACCCAGACGCCTGCGGGGAACAGCATGAATGGATGCACTGTGTAAATTTGTGGGGCTAAGTTGCTTCTCTTCTCCTTCTCCTTCTCTTAAGTTTCTCCTCTACGGTGGTAATGAAACCGCTTTGGTGTCGGTAGTGTTCCATATGATGCACCACGTTTACACCGTAAGTAAACTGAAACTTAAAGCCACATTAAGGGCAAATACTGAATAACCGTGTTTCTCTGATGGCAGCCGTGTGTGTGTGTGTGTGTGTGTGTGTGAGAGAGAGAGAGAGAGAGAGAGAGAGAGAGAGACAGAGAGAGAGAGAGAGAGAGAGAGAGAGAGAGCACCTAGCTGAGGAATTCTGGGAGTTGAAGTCCACGAGTCATGAAGGAGCCATAGTTCCCCCATGCTGGCTGAGGAATTCTGGGAGTTGAAGTCCATAAGTCATGAAGGGGCCATAGTTCCCCCATGCTGGCTCAGGAATTCTGGGAATTGGAGTCCACAAGTCATGAAAGGGCCAGGTCTGAAGAGCCCTGCTCTAAAAGAATGCAAATGACCAGCTGTCTGCAAGGAGTATAAATCCTTCCATTTCCCCACCATCCGGTCAGAGCTGAAGAAGCTTCTTTAGATGAGAAGCGAAATGTCTTTAAAGAAAAAGAAAGAAGTTCAGTTTTCAGTTTATGAAAAAAGCACCTTTGGGACAAAGATAATAGTAATAGCAGCAGTAGTAGTAGTAGTAGTAGTAGTAGTAGTAGTGATGATGATGATCATAAAATTGGAAGGGACTTTGGAGGTCATCTAGTTCAACCCCCTGCTCAGGCAGGAGACCCGCTACTATTTCAGACAAATGGCTGTCCAGTCTCTTCTTAAAAACTTCCAGGGTTGGAGCATTCACAATTTCTGGAGGCAGGTTGTTCCACTGGCTAATTGTTCTCACTGTCAGGAAGTTTCTCCTTAGTTCCAGGTTGCTTCTCTCCTTGATTAGTTTCTACCCGTTGCTTCTTGTTCTGCCTTCAGAGGCTTTGGAGAATAGCTTGACTCCCTCTTCTTTGGGGCAGCCCCTGAGATACTGGACCTTGCTATCATATCACCCATGTTCCACCAGGCGTTGAGAATTTCCTCTTTTCCGTCCTCAGATATTCCTCCCGCTGGGTCTCCACGTTTATCTGGTTGGCATGGAGATCTGGACGGACAAAAATTATGTGACCCTCCATCCTCACGAGCTGTCTATGAACTTGAACGCCTTTTATGAGTACGTCCGGTACAAACTCCGGCACCACGAGCATTTTGACCACGCTGGTTTAATGACGTAAGTCTTCCTTCTCTTTTTCCTTCGGGAAAAATGACCCCTTGGGCTCGATTGAGCATCACCTGGAAAGGGGGGGGGGAGATCAGGGGATTAGCAACGGCCACACGTTTTATTTTGTTTGATTTTTTTTATTATTATTATAAGAGCCGAGGTGGCGCAGCAGTGAGAGTGCAGTAGTGCAGGCCACTTTAGCTGACTGTGTTCAGCAGGTCAGCGGTTCAAATCTCACCGGCTCAAGGTTGACTCAGCCTTCCATCCTTCCGGGGTAGGTCAAATGAGGACCCAGATTGTTGGGGGCAATGTAAATATATATATATATATACATTGCTTACTGGTGTACACCGCTTAGAGAGTGCTTGCACTTAAAGTGGTATGTAAGTCTCATAAAATAAATAAATAAATAAATCTGCTTTGTGACCTTTAGCTTGATTAGAATTGGACTTCTTCTGCATGTTAAGCCAATGTCCTTCATTAAACGAGGGATGGAAATTTGGTGGGAAGAATAACCTGTATCCTTCTTCCTGCGCTGTTTTAGGGCAACCGGGAATCTTCCGGGACTTTCATGGGGAGAACAATTTTGTCATCCCTCTCATGTGTCCGTGAGCATCGTCCAGGTCAGTGGTTCTCAACCTTTTTAATGCCGCGACCCCCAACCGGTCATAAGCCGAGGACTACTCAACCGGTCGTAAGTTGAGGACTACTCAACTGGTGCAGCCCCGTTTGCAGACTGGGACTTTTGGCGGGCTCAGCAGGGCAGAGACAGCCTGGACAATTCCTATTGGCTTTGGAAAGCCAATAGCATTAGACTCTATTCAAGAGAGTCTATTCTATTGGCTTTCAAAAGCCAATAGAATAAAAGGGAGGAGCACAGCTAAGGAAAAGGGAGAAAAAATGGCGGACTGCGTTGTTTGGCGACCCCCGTGAAAGGGTCGTTCGACCCCAAATGGGGTCCCGACCCACAGGTTGAGAACCACTGGTCCAGGTACTGGGGTTGTCCGTCTCCGATTCCTTTTTTTATTATTTTATTTCATTTTTATTACTGCTCCGCCATCACAAGTCACGACAGTGATGGGCAGGTTTCGTTAAGGTCGTAACACGAGGACCACATAGGGGTGGGGGTCAGTGGGGCCTGCTTCCCTTAATGTGGGGGTCAGTGGGCAAGTGCCAGAAACGCGGAGCCAGAGCAGTTCACATGAAGGCTAGCTTCACAACTGTCTCGCTTAGCGACGGAAATGTCAGACTCACTTGCGGTCGTAAGTCGAGGGATTGCCTGTATTGACCAGCGCGTTTGCTTTCTGACCTGTTGTCTAACTCTTGTCTCATGCTGTACAGATCCGTAAAAAGCCTCGATTTGACGCCGAAACCATCGCCCACCAGCTGGGTCATTCTCTCGGCTTCACGCACGATGATGCACCCACAAATTTAGCCAGAAAATGCGACTGCAACTGCACAGTGTTTGGCAGCTGTTTGATGCTGACTTCGGGCACAGCGTAAGTTGCACCTGGAACCTCGTTCTTCGTTTTTAGAATGGGATGGGATGGGATGGGATGGGATGGGATGGGATGGGATTACAGAATAGAATAGAATAGAATAGAATAGAATAGAATAGAATAGAATAGAATAGAATAGAATAGAATAGAATAGAATAGAATAGAAAATGGAATGGAATGGGATGGGATGGGATGGGATGGAATGGAATGGGATGGGATGGAGAATAGAACAGAACAGAATAGAATAGAAATACAGAATGGAATGGAATGGAATGGAATAGAATAGAATAGAATAGAATAGAATAGAATAGAATAGAATAGAATAGAATAGAAAATGGAATGAAATGGAATAGAAAATGGGATGGGATGGGATGGAATGGAATGGAGAATAGAACAGAACAGAACAGAATAGAAGTACAGAATAGAATAGAATAGAATAGAATAGAATAGAATAGAATAGAATAGAATAGAATAGAATAGAAAATGGAATGAAATGGAATAGAAAATGGGATGGGATGGGATGGGATGGGATGGGATGGAATGGAGAATAGAACAGAATATTCCCCAGAGGGGGTCAGCAAAGTCAAGATGGCGACGGTGCTTAGCAACCGCAGCTGCATCCCTTCTGGGCAAAAAAACCTTAACCTTTTTGACTTTCCCCATGGATGCCCCTGGTGGAGGGAGGTGGCACTGCATAGGATCAGCGCAGGTAGAATCTGAAAGGTGTTACCTGGAGGCCAGGTCTCCCAGCAAGCTGGTGTTTGGAAGGAGAGGAGAGAAGAGGGTTAGAGTAGAGTAGAGTAGAGTAGAGTAGAGAGTAGAATAGAATAGAATAGAATAGAATAGAATAGAATAGAATAGAATAGAATAGAATAGAATAGAATAGAATAGAATTTATAGATGCAGAATCAATTCTAGAATCAATTATGGAACAGAAAGGAACAGAGCAGAATACAATAGCATAGTAGACCAGATACAAGAAATACTTTATAAATAATGACAGCTCACAAGATAACTACTGATTGTTTTACAGGAACTGCTCCAGACTGAGTAACTGCAGCAGGCTGGAATATTTGAAAGTGATCCAAAAACCTGAAAAAACTTGTTTGCTGGACAAACCTGCCCAGGTGTTTATCATGAAGGAGTGTGGAAACGGTGTCATCGATGACGAGGATGAAGAGTGCGACTGCGGAATTGAAGAGGTTAGACCCGGGGCCCTCAAACTGGACCTCTTGAAGACTGGTGGACTTCAACTCCCAGAATTCCCCAGCCAGCCAAACTGGACCGCTTTAAGACTGGTGGACTTCAACTCCCAGAATTCCTGAGCCAGCATGGGGGAATTATGGCCCCTTCATGACTCGTGGACTTCAACTCCCAGAATTCCTCAGCCAGCATGGGGGAACTATGGTCCCTTCATGACTGGTGGACCAACTCCCAGAATTCCTGAGCCAGCATGGGGGAACTATGGCCCCTTCATGACTGATGGACTTCAACTCCCAGAATTCCTGAGCCAGCATGGGGGAAAGTATGGCCCCTTCATGGGGACTTCAACTCCCAGAATTCCTGAGGCACCATGGGGGAACTATGGCCCCTTCATGACTCATGGACTTCAACTCCCAGAATTCCTGAGCCAGCATGGGGGAACTATGGCCCCTTCGTGACTCGTGGACTTCAACTCCCAGAATTCTTCAGCCAGCATGGGGGAACTATGGCCCCTTCATGACTTGCGGACTTCAACTCCCAGAATTCCTCAACTGGCATGGCTCAGCTTGGAAACCTCTCCCTTTCCCCTCAGCATGGCTGGCTCAGGAATTCTGGGAGTTGAAGTCCACCAGTCATAAAAGAGCCAAGGTTGCCTAGCCCTGGTATAGGAGGAGAAAAGAAAGCATGTTGCCAGGAAGACTACAGCCTCCCCATAAAGGCCGAGAGATTGTGAGAAATTGTGACGTTGGGAACAGAGGTCGTGCAGAGCAGAAGAGACTTTTTAGAGAGAGAGAGAGAGAAAAAAAACATCAGTTCAATGAACATGAAGAGGGTCAGTTGCTTGCAGATGAGAATAAAAAGCTATTCAACTTCTATTTTGATAATCTTCTCCAATAAAAGCTATAGGTTTCCATAGGCTAGTGCAAACTTGGCCCTTTTAGGACTTGTGGACTTCAACTCCCAGAATTCTTCAGCCAGCGTGCCTGGCTGAGGAATTCTGGGAATTGAAGTCCACAAATCATGAAAGGGCCATGTTTGAAGACCCCCGCGCTTGGCCAAGGGTGTGATTTCCCCCCCTCCCCATCCGTCAGAAGACAAGCCGTTTATACAAATCAGGCTAAATGTGGAATAAAATTTTCAAAATTTGACTCTGAATTGGACATTTCCTGCTGGCGCCGGCCATAAGCTCTGTCCAAAAGATACTGCATGATTTATTTATTAAATGCAGAGGGCTTGAATTTAGAGGAAATGTTTGTTTTCGGCAGTTCAAAGAAACAAAACACAAAAACAACACCAAAGATCTAGCTAGCCTTCAACTTATGAACACCGTTGAAATTCAAATAAAAAATAAATAAATGCCGACGGGGCGACTTTGGGCCAATCACCAGAAGGCGATGTGTTTGAGGCCTGTCCTGGACAAGAAAGCCAGCTGGTTGTTGCTGTTGGTTTTTTATTTTTTTTATTGTTTTTTTTTTTCACCATACACCATACACCAACACAAACTTAAAATACATAAACATAAATCTTTTCTTTTAACAGAACAGTGCTATACATTTTGAGCATTCTTTACATCTTCTTTACATTTTATTTACATCAATAATTATGTCTTTTTCTTTTTCTGTTCTAGCCAATTATAACATTTATTCCAAATTTCATAAAATTCTGTCGCCTCCTTGTCTTTTAATTCTAACGTAAGTTTGTTCATTTCTGCGCATTCCAAGATTTTGTACATAAGCATGTCATTTCTGGGTATATTTTCACTTTTCCAACATTGAGCATATGCTATACGAGCTGCAGTCAATATGTGTATAATGATGTGTTGAGAGTTGTTTTTCCATCTTTAAATTGATTATGCCCAAAAGAAATAATTCTGGTTTGAAGTCCATTTGTATCTCAGTTATCTCCTGTATCCAATCTCTTATTCGTTCCCAATAACTTTTTGCTTTGGGGCACAGCCACCACATGTGATAAAATGTTCCTTCTCTGATTTTACATTTCCAACACTTCGGGTCTATGTTTTTATACATTTTGGCCAATCTCGCCGATGTTAAATGCCATCTGTAAATCATTTTATATTGATTCTCTCTATATGCAGTTGATAGTGTCAATTTGTAATTTATGTTCCATAATCTTTCCCATTCCTCTAAAGATATAAATTTCGCCCCACCTTTGGGTGATTTTGGGGGCTTCTAATTTGTCCTGATGGGTTGTTTTTTTTTAACCTTGCAAGACAGGGTCACCGTCTCTTGCGAGTCGAGTGAGGGTCTTTTCCTTCCTTTCTTAGGACATAGAAGGAACCTGGATCCAGAGCATTTTTCTGAAACAAAGTGGAAAACAACGACAACTTCACGTAAGTGGGTCAAATAAAACTCGACTGAACGACATCCCTGATGGTTGACAGATTAACGACTTGCCAGGGGGAAAAAAAAGTTAACTTAAAAATAATGTTCGGGGTACAATTGTAGAAAATGCTAATATTATTTTATTAAAAAAAATCTTCTTCTTCTTCTTGTGCCCTATCCGTTATCGGACGTTGGCGATCCTGTTTTTATCAGCAGCCGCACGAAAAAGTGCTGCTGAATTTTGTCCAAACCGGTCCCTTAGATTTTGAAGCCACGATGTTCTTCTTCTGCCTGGACTTCATTGGCCTTCCATCTTTCCCTGGAGGATTAAATGGAGCATGCCGTATTTTTCTAGGTGTCGCATCACGTGTCCGAAATATTCTAATTTTCGTTTTTTAATTGTTTTGATGATTTCCCTGGGCTTTCCCAGGTGGCTTATCCCCTCCTCATTTCTGATCTTGTCAGTCCAACTTCTACGTTAACAGCCGCCTGTCAATCCACATTTCAAAGGCTTCCAGTCTCTTCAGGTGGCCTTGTGTCAGAGACCAGCTCTCTACTCCAGTGTTTCTCAACCTTGACCATTTTAAGGCATGTGGACTTCAACTCCCAGAATTCCACAGCCAGCAATGCTGGCTGTGGAATTCTGGGAGTTGAAGTCCACATGCCTTAAAATGGTCAAGGTTGAGAAACACTGCTCTACTCCATAGAGCAGGATAGAAAAAATATAGCATCTCACAAGCCCGATTTTCAGTCTTAGGCTGATGTCGTGACTGCAGAAGACCTTTTTTCATTTTGAAGAATGCTGTTTGAGCTTTCTCTATCCTAGTCTTTACTTCAGCGGTCATGTCCCAGCTTTCATGTAGATTAGAACCGAGGTGCGTGATCCTTTCAACTTTTTCGAGTGGTATTCCTTCTGAATTTATAAAAAAAACATCTAACCCATATTGCAAAGTTACAGACTGCTTCGTATCCAGTCAGGATTTAATAACCAGATAATATATAGGTGGGTGTGTGTGTGTGTGAGAGAGAGAGAGAGAGAGAGAGAGAGAGAGAGAGACAGACAGACAGACAGACAGACAGACAGACAGACAGACAGACAGACAGACAGACGTGATGTTAATATAATAATAAAAAAACTATTCATCAAGGTCTTTGTAATTCTCTCTTTCTCTCCTAACCAGTGGATGCAAAGAATTGGTGATCGTTTTTTATTTCCTCACCACCTACAGCCTAAAACCATCACTGTAAGTTATTGCTCTATCGATATTTATTTATGAGACTTAGCTTTAAGTGCAAGCACTCTCTAAGCGGTGTACACCAGTAAGCAATGTATATATATATTTACATTGTCCCCAACAATCTGGGTCCTCATTTTACCTACCCCGGAAGGATGGAAGGCTGAGTCAACCTTGAGCCGGTGAGATTTGAACCGCTGACCTGCTGAACACAGTCAGCTAAAGTGGCCTGCAGTACTGCACTCTAACTGCTGCGCCCCCTCATATTGTGAAAATGAGATTATTTCTTTGAAGCAAAGGATGCTGCTTTGGGTGTTTTCCGCTGCTTAAAGGGCTGCCTTTACTTGGTTTGCAGACATGATCGTTGACAAGGCCTCAATAAGATCCGCCGCTCTTAGAATGCAAAATAAACAGAGCTGAAAGGGACCTCTGAGGTCTTCTAGTCCAGCCCCCTGCTCAAGCAGGAGCCCCAATACAATTTCAGACAAGTGGTTGTCCTGTCTCTTCTTAAAAATCTCCAGTGTTGGAGCATTCACAGCTTCTGAAGGCTGATGGTTTTGTTGACTATCAACAAAGATGATCAGAGGACTGGAGGCTAAAACATACGAAGAACGGTTGCTGGAAGTGGGTATGTCTAGTTTAATGAAGAGAAGGACGGGGGGGGGGGACACAATAGCCGTCTTCCAATATCTCAGGGGCTGCCCCAAAGAAGAGGGAGTCAAGCTATCCTCCAAATCACCTGAAGGCAGGACAAGAAGCAACGGGTGGAAACTAACCAAAGAGAGAAGCAACCCGGAACTAAGGAGAAATTTTCTGACAATCAGAACAATTAACCAGTGGAACCACCTGCCTCCAGAAGCGGTGAATGCTCCAACACTGGAAGTTTTTAAGAAGAGACTGGACATCCGTTGGTCTGAAATGGCGTAGGGTTTCCTACCTGAGCAGGGGGTTGGACTAGATGACCTCTAAGGTCCCTTCCAACTTTATTGTTATTATTGATCATCGCACCGTCAGCCAGGTGTTCAGACTGAATTTGACATTTCTGTCTACCTATCGAGTCCTTACCCAGGACCTGGGATAGGCAGATGTGGATTATTAGTATTATTAGTATTATCATGAAAGACAGATTGATCTGGTGGCCACAGCTGAAGAGATGGAGACTTGGGGTCTCGCAAGACACGGGGCTTCCACCCAGAAGGTTGTCCTCTCTGGAGAGCCAGGTCTGATCTCAAGCAGAAGCTACAAACAGACAAATTTCCCAGAGAAAATATGTTGTGCGAGGATTCCTCTCAAGGGGAGACAAGACCACGAATGGTCAGCAGGGATCCCCCGATCAGGGCACTTGATAGAAAATTGACATAGCAGACTTAGAACTTTTGAGTCTGTTGCTGCTGAAACTCTCATCCTCCAGTTCATTACAGCTAGTCCTTGACTTAACAACTATTTGTTTAGTGACCGTTCCAAGTTACAACGGCAAAAAGTGACTTAGGACCATTTTTCACACTGACGACTCTTGCAGCATCCCCCCCCCCAGGGTCACGTGATCAAAATTCAGACGCTTGGCAACTGGCAGGTACTTACGACAGTTGCAGCGTCCCCGGGGGGGGGTGTCACCTGATCCCCTTTTGTGACTTTCTGACGAGCAAAGTCAGCAGGGAAAACGACCCTGTGACTAACTGATCAACTGCAGCGATTCCCTTAAGAACTTTGGCAAGAAAACGTCCTGAGACGGTGCAAGTCTCGCTTAACAAATTCCTCGCTTAGAGACATAAATTTTGGGCGCCATGGCGGTCGTAAGTCGACGACCACCAGTACTATCTCTGCGGTGGAAATATTTAAGAAATCGAGAATATCAGCACCTGTCATTGCTCGCTCTCTCTCTCTCTCTCTCTCTCTCTCTCTCTCTCTCTCTCTCTCTCAACAGGAAGAAGGTACATCAGCCATCAGACTTGTACTCATGAATGAAAAATACCCCAGCCTCAAAGGACCAAGTGTAAGTTTTGAATTTCTTTAATGAGAGATGTAGAGTTGGAGGGGGAATATTTTAAGGGTAGCATTGGGGGGGTGGTGAATGAGATCGCCGTCCCTCTTGTCGCAGGAATGCCGGAAGAACGAGTGTTGCCGCAAGGACTGCAAATTCAGAAAAGACATCGACTGCCTGTACGGGCTCTGCTGTGAGAAGTGTAAGGTAAGGTCAAAGGTATCCAGGCCAGGGGCAGGTCGGGCCGTGACGGCCGTTGGTTGGGAAAAAGGTCTTCGGGAGGAGAGGCAAGACGGAGCCCGCTCTCCGCTCAGCCGCTCCTGCGTCGCGTGCCTTGTTTTGCTACTATAGATGTTGGTGGGGTTGTTTCCCAAAGTGACACTGACAGCTGCAGTTGGAGGCCTTCTGTTCCTTCCTTTCTTCCTTGTCTCATTCTCTCCTTCCTCCCTCCCTCTCTCTTTCCTTCCTTCCTTGTCTCTCTCCCTTCTCCTTCCATCCCTTTCTCCTTCCTTCCTTCCTTCCTTCCTTTGTCTCAGTCTCTCCTTCCTGCTCCCTCCCTCCCTCTCTCTTTCCTTCCTTCTTTGTCTCATTCTCTCTTTCCTCCTTCCACCCTCTGTCACTTCCTTCTTCCTTCCTTCCTTCCTTCCTTCCTAATTTCCTCACGGGGAAAAAAAGATCTTGCAAAGTTGGAATTGATTGATTGAACTTTTTAGTCCCACCCATTCTGCCGTTAGCACCACAGCCACGCCCACCCAATGGGCCACACCCATCCAATGGGCCACACCCACTCAATGGATCACACCCACCCGGCACTCAACGATGCATAAGTGGGTTTTGGTTTGCAGTTTGGGCACTCGGTCTGTAAAAGGTTCGCCATCACTGCTATATACCATTTCAGACAAAGTGACCTTGGCGCATCTTAACTGGGTCTTGATTCACACATTTATGATAATAATCATAATAATAAAGTTCGAAGGGACCTTGGAGGTCATCTAGTCCAACCCCCTGCTCAGGCAGGAAACCCTATACCATTTCGGACAAATGGCTGTCCAGTCTTTTCTTAAAAATTTCCAGAGTTGGAGCATTCACCACTTCTGGAGGCAGGTGGTTCCACTGGTTAATTGTTCTAACTGTCAGGAAGTTTCTCCTTAGTTCCAGGTTGCTTCTCTCCTTGATGAGTTTCCACCCGTTGCTTCTTGTCCTGCCTTTGGGTGCTTTGGAGAATAGCTTGATTCCCTCTTCTTTGGGGCAGCCCCTGAGATACTGGAAGACTACTATCCTGTCACTCCTAGTCCTTCTCTTCATTAAACTAGACATACCCAATTCCAGCAACCGTTCTTCGTATGTTTTAGCCTCCAGTCCCCTAATCATCTCTGTTGCTCTTCTCTGCACTCTTTCTAGAGTCTCAACATCTTTTTTACATCGTGGTGACCAAAACTGGATGCCGTATTCCAGGTGTGGCCTTACCAAGGCCTTGTAAAGTGGTATTAACCCTTCACGTGATCTTGATTCTCTCCCTCTGTTAATGCAGCCCAGCACCGTGTTGGCCTTTTTGGCAGCTGCAGCACACGGCTGGCTCCTATTTAAGTGATTGTCCACTAGGACTCCGAGATCCCTCTCACAGTTACTTTTGAGGGCCATCTGAACCGGAAACTTCTCTTCTTGCCTCCGCTAGTTTTCCGAAACGGGAACCAGGTGCAGAGAAGCCGCTTCGGAGTGCGACCTCCCGGACTTCTGCAACGGGACCTCCTACGACTGTCCGACGGATGTCTACAAGCAAGACGGGACCCCGTGTGGCAACCACAACCATTGTTTCCTGGGACGTTGCCTGGATCTCCACACACACTGCAAGGCTCTTTTTGGGCCAGGTAAGGCCAGCGTCCCCTCTCTCAAGGCTGCTTCTGCTGTCCTTGGGCTCTGGACAGCCGGACCGTGGGTAGACGTTTCATGACCCAACTAGGGAACATCCTCAATGCTGGAAGGGAGAGCAGTTTATGGAGAGGAGGAGGAGGAGGACGACGACAATGACGACAACTGTGGGATCCTTGGTATTCTCTGAGCTGGGTGATTTTCTTGCAGACATTTCATGACCCAACTAGGTGAAATCATCAATTTTGGAAGGGACAGGAGTTTATGGAGGAGGAGGAGGAGGAGGAGGAGGAGGAGGAGGAGGAGGAGGAGGAGGAGGAGGAGGAGGAGGAGGAGGAGGAAGAGGAGGAGAGGGTGGAGGGAGCAGAGGAAGAGTAAGAGGAAATGGAGGACTGTCGGGTCCTTGGTGCTCTCTGAGCTGGGTTGTTTTCTTGCAGACATTTCGTGACCCAACTAGGTGAAATCATCAATTTTGGAAGGGACAGGAGTTTATGGAGGAGGAGGAGGAGGAGGAGGAGGAGGAGGAGGAGGAGGAGGAGGAGGAGGAGGAGAACTGTGGGATCCTTGGTGCTCTCTGAGCTTGGTAGTTTTCTTGCAGACATTTCATGACCTAACTAGGGAACATCATCAGTGCTAGAAGGGAATGGGTTGGAGGAGGAGGAGGAGGAGGAGGAGGAGAGGGAGGAGGAGGGAGAGGAGGAGAGGAGGAGGAGGAGGAGGGAGGGTAGAGGGAGCAGAGGAAGAGGAAATGGAGGACTGTGGGGTCCTTGGTGCTCTCTGAGCTGGGTAGTTTTCTTGCAGACATTTCATAACCCAACTAGGCAACATCATCAGTGCTAGAAGGGAGGTGGGTTTGCAGGGAGGACCACGGTGAGGTCCTTGGTGCTTGGTGATTTTCTTGCAGACGTTTCACGGCCCAACTAGGGAACATCATCAGCGCCTCTCTTGCGTTTGTGCTTCTCCCTCCAGATGCGCGGGAAGCCCCCCTGAGCTGCTTCAAGGAGATGAACACGCGGGGAGACCGTTTCGGCAACTGCGGCAAGGACGGCTCCGTCTATCGGAAGTGCCTTGAGAAGTAGGTGGGCTTCCTCGCCAAGGGCAGGTTGCCCAGGCTGGCTGGGAACATTGGGAAAACCACCGGGGTGCCGAGACCAACATCAAGCCACGGTCTAAAACCACGGGCAGAGAGCGACCCCGTTTAGGACAGCGATCAAGTGTCAGGGCAGCGATCAAGCGCTCAGGAAATTGTGGAGAGGGGGTTGGATCTAGAGCAGTGGTTCTCAACGTTTGTGTGACGGCGACCCCCGTCACACAAACGTGCCGCGCATGCGCGGCACTGCCCCCTGAGGGGGGAAAATGGCGGATCGCCTTCTTTGGCGACCCCCGTAAAATGGGCGATTGACCCCAAATGGGGTCGCGACCCATAGGTTGAGAACCGCTGATCTAGAGACAACAAACTCTCCAGTAAATAAAGAAAGCTTAAGCCAGTGGTTCTCAACCTGTGGGTCGGGACCCCATTTGGGGTCGAACGACCATTTCACGGGGGTCTCCAAACAACGCTTGAATAGAGTCTAATTCTATTGGCTTTCCAAAGCCAATAGGAATTGTCCAGGCTGTCTCTGCCCTGCTGAGCCCGCCAAAAGTCCCATTCTGCAAACGGTGCTGCACCAGTTGAGTAGTCCTCGACTTACGACCGCTTGAGTAGTCCTCGACTTACGACCGGTTGGGGGGTCACGGCATTAAAAAGGTTGAGAACCACTGGCTTAAGCGACATTATAAACTCACACGTGGGTTAAAGGCCCGACATAAAAAGCACACAGTAGTCCTCAACTTACAACAGTCCGTTTCGTGACCGTTCAAAGTTAGAACACCACTAAAGTATTATCTTGCTTTTGAATAGATTTTAGATCATTATTAATAGTATTAATTGTATTATTGTTGTTGTCTTAATTTGTTAATATTTGTTTTGAGAAGGAGTTAAAGTGTATTATGGTTTTGATTGATAGTTTATTTGGTTTATGTTAGTTAGATTATGTTTGTTTAGTTGTTACCCTGTAATCAGCTCTGGGAACTGGGGGAGGGGGGAGGGGATGGGTGGGTTTATATTGTAATTTGTAAAACTTTTAATAATAATAATAATAAAAAAAGTTAGAACACCACCGAACAAGTTACGACCGTTGCAGCATCCCCAGGGTCCTGTGGTTGACATTCGGAGGCTTGGCAACTGACTTGTACTTGTGACGGTTGCAGTGTCCCGGGGGGAGCAGGGTGTCACGTGATCCCCTTTTGCGACCTCCGGCCACTGGGGAAGCCAGCAACCATTTTACTAGCTTAACCACTGCAGGGATGCACGTCACAAACATGGCAAGACGCGTCGTACAACGGGGCAAAATGCGCCTGAGAAATTTCTCGCTTAGCGACATCAATGTCGGGCTCCGTTGCGGTGGTAAGTCGAGTGGTGCAGCAGTGAGAGTGCAGTACTGCAGGCCACTTTAGCTGACTGTGTTCAGCAGGCCAGCGGTTCAAATCTCACCGGCTCAAGGTTGACTCAGCCTTCCATCCTTCCGGGGTAGGTAAAATGAGGACCCAGATTGTTGGGGGCAACGTAAATATATATATATATACATTGCTTACTGGTGTACACCGCTTAGAGAGTGCTTGCACTTAAAGCGGTATATAAGTCTCATAAATAAATAAATAAATAAATAGAATAGAATAGAAGATGGGATGGGATAGAATAGAGTAGAATAGAACAGAATAGAACAGAATAGAATAGAATAGAGCTGGAAGGGACCATGGAGGTCTTCTAGTCCAGCCCCAAGAGAACCTTTTGATTCCATCTGGATCCTTTTAATCTGATTTTTGTAGTGGACTGGATCTGCTGGTATAAAAGTAGCAATTTATAAATAAATAAATACACAAAAAAACGTGAAATGACAGCTGCCAGTTACCCGTATCCTGTTGTTCTGTCTCGCTCCGCGACAAAGGGATGTCCTCTGCGGAAGAGTGCAGTGTGTCAACGTGGGCAAAATCTCGAGGGTCGCGACGAGACAAGACGTGCTGCAGACCCCGGTGGAGGGCGCCACGTGCTGGGGGACCGGATTTGACCTCGGGGAGGACGTCTATGACCTGGGAGCAGTGCAAGATGGGACCAGCTGCGGCCCCGACAAGGTAGCCCCGGCCGCCCGCCCGGCCGCCTGCTCCAAAGTTTTCCCAGAGTTCTTCTTTGTCTCTGGGAGAGACGCGGAAGCTCCCTCTGGATACGGAGCCTTCGGCATTTAGCTGGCTGAGCCAGGTTGGCGACAGGGTGAAGACGGAGCCCTTGGCTTCATTCAGACGTAAGAGAATGGCAAGGGTGGGGAAAGGGACAGCCCGGCACGTTAAAGTGCCTCTGCAGAGATCAGGCAAGGACTGATAATACAAATTTGGTTTCAATAAAGTGTCAGCAAATATGTGTGTTTGTGTATGTGTGTATGTATATGTATGAGTGTGTGCTTGTTTATGTGTGTATGTGGATGGATGGATGGATGGATGGATGGATAGATAGATAGATAGATAGATAGATAGATGATAGATATCGATAGATGGATGGATAGATGGATGATAGATATCGATAGATGGAGAGAGAGAGAGAGAGAGAGAGAGATGGATGGATGATAGATATCGATAGATAGATAGATAGATAGATAGATAGATAGATAGATAGATAGATAGATATGGATGGATGGATGGATGGATGGATGGATGGATGGATGGATGATGGATGGATGGATGATATAGATAGATAGATAGATAGATAGATAGATAGATAGATATAGATGGATGATGGATGGATGGATGATATAGATAGATAGATAGATAGATAGATAGATAGATAGATAGATAGATATGGATGGATGGATGGGTAGATAGATAGATAGATAGATAGATAGATAGATAGATAGATAGATATAGATGGATGGATGGATGGATGGATAGATAGATAGATAGACAGACAGATAGATAGATAGATAGAGATGGATGATAGATATATAGATGGATGGATAGATATAGATAGATAGATAGATAGATAGATAGATAGATAGATAGATAGATAGATAGATAGATAGATATGGATGGATGATAGATAGATAGATGGATGGATGGATGGATGGATGGATGGATGGATAGATAGATAGATAGATAGATAGATAGATAGATAGATAGATAGATAGATAGCGGTGCAAAGATCTTTCTCCTTTTCTAGATCTGCTTAAATAGATCGTGCGTGGACGTGGCTGTGCTGGATTTCGACTGCGATCCATCCGTCTGTAGAAGCCGAGGGGTATGTGGAAAACTGGGGTGCTTAACTGGGGCGCCCTTGGGTGCCCCCCCCCCCGAAAATGAAGATGGCGGCCACAATAGTGCAGATCAAAGCAATTCTCACTGGCCATCCGGGAAGAATTCATCACTTCCTGCCTCTGGGTTAGTGGTGGCTGAGGAGGCGATGGAGTTTGCGTCTCACACAACCCTGAAGTGGGAGCCATCTCTGGCTAGGAGGGGATTGTGATTGTGAAGCTGTTCCTTGTGGGCCTGTCCAGGCGGCCGGTGGACCTCGGCAATCCACGATATCTCCTTGTCTGTTTTCAGGTCTGCAACAGCAACCGGAACTGCCATTGCTCTTATGGATGGGCCCCTCCCTTGTGCACCGATCCAGGGTTTGGGGGGAGCATTGACAGTGGGCCCCCTCCCCCCTACCAGCGTAAGCCGCTTCCCTATCCTGTCCTCTTCCTGCTTCTTGGCCTCCCATCCCGTTCAGACCAGCCATCTTTCAGGCCTAAGGCGGGACTAGAACTCACCGTCTCCTGGTGATTGGCCCAAAGTCACCAGTCAGCTTTCATGGCTAAGGTGAGACTAGAACTCACTGTCTCCCGGTGATTGGCCCAAATTCACTCAGTTGGCTTTCATGCCTAAGGCGGGACTAGAAACTCACCGTCTCCTGGTGATTGGCCCAGAATCACCCAGTCGGCTTTTATGGCTAAGGCGGGACTAGAACTCACCATCTCCTGGTGATTGGCCCAGAGTCACTCAGTTGGCTTTCATGGCTAAGGCGGGACTAGAACTCACTGTCTCCTGGTGATTGGCCCAAAGTCACCCCGCTGGCTTTCATGCCTAAGGCGGGACTAGAACTCACAGTCTCCTGGTGATTGGCCCAAAGTCACCCCGCTGGCTTTCATGCCTAAGGCGGGACTAGAACTCACCGTCTCCTGGTGATTGGCCCAGAGTCACCCAGTCGGCTTTTATGGCTAAGGCAGGACTAGAACTCACCATCTCCTGGTGATTGGCCCAAAGTCACCCAGTCGGCTTTCATGCTAAGGCGGGACTAGAACTCACCGTCTCCTGGTGACTGATCCAAGATAACTCAGTTGGCTTTCATGCTTAATGTGCCTGAGGTTTTATATCAAAATCTATTTTATTCGTTATGCTGTTTCCATCTTCCCTTAAAACAGTCACAGAATCCACAATGGACTTAGAATCAACGTCTCCACTAGAAAATTGGCGATCAAGCTGAAACTCAATAAATCAAGTGAAAATATCAAATGGGAAAATCCTTTGGTCAAACTTCCTCAAATCTCCCAAATTAGTTACCCAGACCTAATCCACATATCAAAGGAGAAGGTCTGCAAACACAAATAGAGCTAATTCAATTAGGTCTCCCGGAGGAACTGCATGCTCACAAGAATACATAGTAATAATAATAATAATAATAATAATAATAATAATAATAATGGGGGGCACTACCTCCCCCAGTGAGGCACTACCTTGACATGGTTGTGGGGCTTGTGTACTCTGAGGAAGATGAGAGCTATGCCAAAGTTTCAACCATACTGGACAGGTCTCATCAGAGGAGTCAGACAAAGAGTGTCTCTCCCATAAAAAATATGGTGAGACGTAAATTGCAGAATGCCATACCGGCTCGGACATCGCCCGGGTTAACAAGGTCCGCGCTAGATATTGGAGTTCCTAGATATCTGGTGAAAAACGGGTTACAGGACTCAGGACTGTTGGCTGAGCAACCAGGGCCAGCAGCTGCAGAACTACTGGAAGACAAGGTGTTTACCCGTCGCAGATATACAGTGATGGAAAACAAAGAAATAATGATCTGTTACTGCAGATCAAGTCCAACAAGACGAGGATATCTAAAAACGAATGCACCAGTTCTGGAAAGAACAACATCCAGAATCAGAAATAACAGAACAGAGACTAGCAGATCAACGCCGATTTATAATACGAAATAAAGTATTTACAGAAACAGAATTGGACGAACTGCAAAGGTTTACTCAGGGCAAAGAAATCAAAGCCTTACAAGAAGTAATTCAGAATGTAGAGGCAAACCAGGGGGAGTTGGCAGTGAAAGAATCCAGTAGAGATATACAACTGTTCTCATTTGGAAACCAGGCACCTCTTCCTCAGGAAGAACAAAACCCTCTAACTAAAGAAATAAAAGAATTGAAACAAAGAATAACTGAGCATCTAGAACAGCACAAAAACAACAGAATAAGGCTGCCTGCATTGAAGCTTGTTCCAAAGAAACAGCTAGCACAAGCATTAAAAGATGCAAATACTGCAATATCAAGTATAAGCACCAATTCACTGCAAGAAACAAACCAACTAATGTACAGCACAGCTGCAGTTATAACAGAATACCTGGGATGCAAAATCAACAAAGAAGAAAAACAAACAAACAGTGCACCAGAAAAATGGAAGGTTAGACTAGAAAATAAGATCAGCAAGTTAAGATCACATGCAAGCAAGCTAGAACAGATGAAAGAAAAGAAGCTGAAGAACAAGAAGACCAAAGAATACCTAATCAAGAAATACCACTTAGAAACAAGGAAGATCAAGGAAGCACTGGAAATAATAAAGCAACAAATAACAGCTATAGCCAGGAAAATCAGTAGATATGAAGCTCGAATTGCAAACTATAGGCAGAACCTCCAATTTCAATCCAATCAGAAACGTTTCTACCAATCCATCAATGGAGAAACTGCAAGGAATCAGTCAGTACCTGACAAGGAAGAAACAGTGCAGTTCTGGAAGCAGATATGGGATAACCCAAAGAAATACAACAAGGATGCGGCTTGGTTAAAAGAGGTGGATGCAAATAAAACAGAAGTTGAAATGAAAGAACTAGTAATAACAACAAAAATGGTAGAAAAAAGAGCAAAGAAAATCAAAAATTGGTCAGCACCAGGTGAAGATGAACTGCATGGGTTTTGGTTGAAACATCTAACTGTTATACACCCACTCATTGCCAAACAGTTCAACAATATACTACAAGGAGGAGAAATTGAAAAGTGGCTAACAACTGGGAAAACCTACCTAATAATGAAAAATCCAGCAAAAGGGGCAACACCAGGTAACTACAGGCCAATTACCTGCTTACCAACAACTTTCTGGTGTGGTAGCTGATGCAGTACAACAGCATCTAGTTGAAAACAATCTCTTTCCACTGAGCAGAAAGGAAACCGCCCCAACAGCAGAGGAACAAAAGATCAACTCCTAATAGACAAAATGATCTTGGAAAACTGCAAGAGAAGGAAGACCAACCTGAATGTGGCATGGATTGACTACAAAAAGGCATTTGACTCTCTGCCACATGATTGGATAATAAAGTGCCTAGAAATAACAGGAGTCAGTAGAAACATCAGAAAATTTGTGCAAAGATCGATGGCACAATGGAAGACACAGTTGCAGATCAATGGTGAGAGGCTGGGAGAGGTTAATATCAAGAGAGGAATATTTCAAGGAGATTCATTATCACCATTACTATTGTTATTGCACTGTTTCCTCTGTCAACAATACTGAATAACTCAGGACATGGCTATCAAACATCAAAAACATCTGCCAGACTATCCCACCTCCTTTATATGGATGATCTGAAGCTGTATGGAAAAACATCATCTGAAATAGAATCGCTGCTCAACACTGTCCGTATATATAGCCAAGATATTGTAATGGAGTTTGGCTTGGACAAATGTGCCACACTTACTATCAAACAAGGAAAAATAGTGAAAACTGAAGGAATCAAGATGCCCCACGAAAATAACATTAAGAGTCTGGATGAGGAAGAGTACTACAAATACTTGGGTATCCTTCAAGCTGACAACATCAAGCACACTGAAGTCAAGAAAAAGATTAGAGGTGAATACATCAAGAGAGTGAAGAAGATCTTAAAGTCCAAACTCAATGGAGGAAATACCATAAAGGCAATCAACACCTGGGCAATCCCAGTCATTAGGTACATAGCTGGAATAGTGGACTGGACTCAAGCAGAACTAAAAGCAAAGGATAGGCAGACCAGAAAAATAATGACAATGAATCACGCCCTTCATCCACGCAGTGACATTGATAGACTTTATCTACCAAGGCAAATAGGTGGGCGTGGAATGCTACAAGTACATCAGATGGTTGAAGAAGAAAAAATGGCTTTGGAAGAATATCTGAAGAACAATGATGAAGATGCACTGAAATTAGTATATCAGGAAGGCTTACTACTACTGGAGAGACCAAACTGGCCTACAAGAAAGACCAAATGAAGAACAGAATAGAGGCATGGGAAGACAAAGCACTACATGGCCAATACATGAAAAAAATAGCTGGGAAAGCAGATAATAATAAAACCTGGCAATGGCTAAGAGCAGGAAAATTGAAGAAAGAGACCGAGGGACTAATTCTGGCTGCACAAGATCAAGCCTTAAGGACAAATGCATACAAAGTCAAAATTGAGAAGACAGCAACAGACAGTAAGTGCCGCCTATGCAAAGAAGCTGAAGAAACAGTGGACCACTGGTAAGCTGTTGCAAGAAGATTGCACAGACTGATTACAAGCAGCGGCATGACAAAGTAGCAACAATGGTGCATTGGAAGATCTGCAAAAAATATCATTTGCCTGTAAGCAAAAACTAGTGGGATCATAAAATAGAGAAAGTCATAGAAAATGATAAAATTAAACTGCTCTGGGACTTCAGAATTCAAACAGACAAGCACCTGCAACATAACACCCCAAACCTAACAATTGTCGATAAGAAAGACAAAAAAGTCTGGATAGTGGACGTGGCAGTGCCTGGAGATAGCAGAATAGAAGAGAAAGAACTGGAGAAGATAACAAAATACAAAGACCATACAAAGACTGTGGCAAAAGCAAGCAAGGGTAGTACCAATAGTAATAGGCTCCTTGTGTGCAATCCCAAAACAACTGGAGCACCACTTGAACACCATTGGCATTGACAAATTCGCTATTAGTCAATTGCAAAAGGCAGCCTTATTAGGAACTGCTTCCATCCTGCGACGATACCTGTAATACCATCAAACATCCACATCTGCCTATCCCAGGTCCTGGGTAAGGACTCGATAGGTAGACAAAATGCCAAATCCTGTCTGAACATCTGGCTGACTGTGTGATGATCAATAATAATAATAATAATAATCATCATCATCATCATAATAATAATAATAGTAATAATGGTAATAATAATAAAAAAGTTGGAAGGGACCTTGGAGGTCATTAGTCCAAACCCCCTGCTCAGGCAGGAAACCCTATACACTTTCAGACAAAGGGCTGTCCAGTCTCTTCTTTAAAACTTCCAGTTTTGGAGCATCCACAATTTCTGGAGGCAGGTTGTTCCACTGGTCAATTGTCCTCACTGTCAGGAAGTTTCTCCTTAGTTCTAGGTTGCTTCTCTCCTTGATTAGTTTCCATCCGTTGCTTCTTGTCCTGCCTTCAGGCGCCTTGGAGAATAGCTTGACTCCCTCTTCTTTGGGGCAGCCCCTGAGATACTGGAACACTGCCACCATGTCCCCCCTCGTCCTCTTCGTTAAACTAGACATACCCAATTCCAGCAACCGTTCCATACTTACACAGAGAGAGAGAGAGACACACACACACACACACACATCCCTCAAATGTCAGCCTAGAATCAGCACGTAGACACTTCCACACCCAAGACAAGCTCCCCCTATAAAACTACGTCGCTGTTCCCCATTTCTCTGTAGCTGCCCCTAAAGGCAAACGCCTTGCTTTGAGGCCTAAATATTTCTTCTTTCCTCACACCGGTCTGGATTATTCTGCTTATTCTGGTGCAGCCCCGGGTTCCAGTTGGAACCCCCAAATTATTCTTCTGACAAGTTGGACTAGAACTCACCACGTCCTGGTGTCGTGCAGTGGGCGGAGCCTCTTCAGCAGCTGACCCCTTTGCTCTCTCACACCTTGACCATTGCCCCCAAACTGTGCACCAACACACCCAAGGGAATGTCTTTCTTTCACAACCCCTGCTCACGGTCCTTCTCTCTTTCGTCCCCAGTGCCCACCATCGTCCTCGTCGGACTGTTCACCCTGACCGGGCTGGTCGTCCTGGTGGCGGGGGTCTTCATCTCGCGTCACGTGGACGTCTTGTAAGTCAATTGCCCTCCTGATGCCGGGATATAGGAGGAGAAGGAAGAGGAGGATGTGGCTGGAGGGGCTCGCGTTCGAATCCTCGGCGCACAAGGTGCCTGCTGAGAATCCCCAAAAGCTTCACACTTCTCTTTTCTTTCCAGCTTTAAACTGATGGCAGCCATTCCCAAACGACGCCCCCAAAAATCAGCCAGTAAAGTAAGTGATGGAAAGGACCCACCTCTTGTTGTTGGGGGGGGGGCTCACCCCTAATCCAACCCCGTGTAGCAGCCTTTTAGAACAGAGGTCACCGATCTTTGTCGGTTTGCGGACTGGAGGAAAAGGGAGGTGTTGAAGGAAAAGCCTTCATCGTGGTTCAGTCCAAGCCGGGAATAAAGAACATGGCGACTGCTTTAGAAAGAAGATTGCAGTTTATCGAAGAGGCGAGCCAGACAGGAAGATGGCTCTGGAAGAAAAGAGAGAGAGAGCCCATGTAGGGAGTGGGTTTTTATATCTTCTGGAGCCTTTTGTTTGGAGTTGTTCCTGTGGCGTGAATTTTGACCTGAGTCTTGAGTGTGTGCCTTTCTGGTATTCTGATGGTGGTGGGTTAATCCTATTATATCCCAAGGGTCATATCCTGCTTCCCTGGGGCTGTGACTGATGAGTGTTGGATTTTTTTGATGTGAGGGATTGTTGATTCTAGGGCAGTGGTTCTCAACCTGTGGGTCGGGACCCCATTTGGGGTCCAACGACCATTTCACGGGGGTCGCCAAACAACGCAGTCCGCCATTTTTTCCCCCTTTTCCTTAGCTGTGCTACTCCCTTTTCTTCTATTGGCTTTTGAAAGCCAATAGAATAGACTCTCTTGAATAGAGTCTAATTCTATTGTCTTTCAAAAGCCAATAGGAATTGTCAAGGCTGTCTCTGCCCTGCTGAGCCCGCCAAAAGTCCCATTCTGCAAACGGTGCTGCACCAGTTGAGTAGTCCTCGACTTACGACCAGTTGAGTAGTCCTCGACTTACGACCGGTTGGGGATCGCGGCATTAAAAAGGTTGAGAACCACTGTTCTAGGGATCTTTCTTCCTAATCCCAGTTTCCTGACTCCCATCTTTCTGACAAGATTATTACATCTGCAATTCTACAAACCTGGTTTCTGTTTGGGATATAGAGACTTGGGGGCGGGGTTGGTTTCTGCTTTTAAAATCCTTTAGGGAAATATATTCTGCTTTTTAAATATTTCTCGGGGGGGGGGAGCTGACTTCCCACAAATGGGAAAGCATTTTACATGCATGCGTGCCCGCGCACACGGGGCCGCAAGGATGTGCCCACTGCAAATGGGGCGGGGCTAGCACCCGCGTGATACTCCCTAGCCCTGCCCTGTTCTTGCGTGGCGCACCGCCTTCTTTCTGCGCCCCGTGGTGTGGCGGCAGCCATTTTTGCACCTTGCAGTCTGGCGGCAACGCATTTTTGTGCCACAGCGTGACACAGCGGTGCCCCATTTTTGTGCCCCATGGTGCGGCAGCGGCCCATTTCCATACCCCGTGGTGTGCCAGTGGCCATTTTTGCACCTTGCAGCGTGGCAGCAGCCTGTTTTTGCACCCCACAATGCGGCGGTGGCCATTTTAGCAAGCCGTGGCATGGCATCATCCCATATTCACACCCCGAGGCCCAGCAGTGGCCCGTTTTTGTGCCCTGTGGCCGCAGACCTAACACAAATGAGGGGGTACATGCGCACACACTGGCCAGCCTGTCCCGCAGCCTGGTGGTTGGGGACCCCTGTTTTAGAAGGCAGATGCTGGAGGATCCCTGCACAGGAAGTCCTCAGGAATTGTGGGAGTTGAAGTCCAAAGGTCATAAAGGGGCCATAGTTGCTGGCTCAGCAATTGTGGGAGTTGAAGTCCAGATGTCACAAAGGGGGCATAATTGGCTCAGGGATTGTGGGGAATTGAAGCCCAGAGGTCATAAAGGGACCATAGTTGGCTCAGGAATTGTGGGAGTTGAAGTCCAGAGGTCATACAGGGGCCATAACTGGCTCAGGAATTGTGGGAGTTGAAGTCCAAAGGTCATAAAGGGGTCATAGTTGGCTCAGGAATTGTGGGAGTTGAAGTCCAGAGGTCATACAGGGGCCATAACTGGCTCAGGAATTGTGGGAGTTGAAGCCCAGAGGTCATAAAGGGACCATAGTTGGCTCAGGAATTGTGGGAGTTGAAGTCCAGAGGTCATACAGGGGCCATAACTGGCTCAGGAATTGTGGGAGTTGAAGTCCAAGGTCATAAAGGGGCCATAGTTGGCTCAGGAATTGTGGGAGTTGAAGTCCAAAGGTCATAAAGGGGTCATAGTTGGCTCAGGAATTGTGGGAGTTGAAGTCTGAAGGTCATAAAGGGGCCTTACTTGCCTCAGGAATTGTGGGAGTTGAAGTCCACGGGTCGTAAAGTCGACTTAGTTGCCCACCTAAGTTACAATAATCCTAATTTTTCCCCCCCTCTGTCTCTTCCAGAGAGCCCTAAGAGTCAAATCCTCAAAGAGCGGCATGAGGCGGTCGCGTAGCGGTTTGAGAAGCACTTCCTCCGTCAGGCTCAAAAAGTCCAGAAGTACCGTTTCAGTCCAAAATCAAAGAAGTACCCCATACGTGAAAAGCCCCGAATTAAAAAGCGCCATATCCACCTCCAGAGCCGGGAAATCCAGATTAGATGTCACTTTTGCCACCTAGATCTAATCACACACACACACACACACACACACACACACACACACACACCATTTTTCAGTGGAATCTTCTGCCCTTGGATTAAAATATCCTGTTTCTTGCCTTGGACTCTCCAGTCTTCAAATAAAATGTTGTTCCCCCCACCCCCCTTGTTTTGACCATTATTAGCATTTCCAATAATAATAATAATAATAGTAATAGTAATAATAAAGTTGAAAGGGACCATGGAGGTCATCTAGTCCAACCCCCTGCTCAGGCAGGAAATCCTACACCATTTCAGACAAATGGCTGTCCAGTCTCTTCTTAAAAACTTCCAGTGTTGGAGCATTCACCGCTTCTGGCGGCAGGTTGTTCCACTGGTTAATTGTTCTGACTGTCAGGAAGTTTCTCCTTAGTTCTAGGTTGTTTCTCTCCTTGATCAGTTTCCATCCGTTGCTTCTTATCCTGCCTTCAGGCGCTTTGGAGAATAGCTTGACTCTCTCTTCTTTGGGGCAGTCCCTGAAATACTGGAAGACTGCCATCATGTCCGCCCTTGTCCTTCTCTTCGTTAAACTACTAGGCATATCCAATTCCAGCAGCAGTTCCTTATATGTTTTAGCCTCCAGTCCCCTAATCATCCCTGTTGCTCTTCTCTGCACTCTTTCTAGAGTCTCAACCTCTTTTTTACATCGTGGGGACCAAAACTGGATGCAGGATTCCAAATGTGGCCTTACCAAGGCCTTGTAAAGTGGTATTAACACTTCACGTGATAAAGGGCTTCCCAGAATTCTTGAGGAATTGATCTCCTTCAGCTATTCCCCTTGGCTTCTTGCAAAATTATTCTTACTTTTCCGGAGATATTACATGACACACACACACACACACACACAGACAAACAAAACACACACACCAGTTGCGGAAAGGGAGCGAAGCTTCTGCCACCATCTCAGAAATAATGTCTATTTATTTATTTGGCATATTGCAAATCATACATGACCTTGCCATATATATTTAGCATTTCACCTAGATCAGGGCTAGGCAACCTTGGCTCCTGGTGGACTTCAACTCCCAGAATTCCTGAGCCAGCCATGCTGAGGGGAAAGAGAGAGGTTTCTAATCTGAGCCATTCTGGCTGAGGAATTCTGGGATTTGAAGTCCACAAGTCATGAAGGGGCCACAGTTCCCCCATGCTGGCTCAGGAATTCTGGGAGTTGAAGTCCACGAGTCATGAGGGGGCCAAAATTCCTCCATGCTGGCTCAGGAATTCTGGGAGTTGAAGTCCACGAGTCATGAAGGGGCCAAAATTCCCCCATGCTGGCTCAGGGATTCTGGGAGTTGGTCCACCAGTCATAAAAGAGCCTAGGTTCCCTATACCTGGTCTAGGCCATCTAAATATCAAAGCCAAAACAAATTTATGCCACGTTTATAAATACGGCAAAATCAAGATGAGAATCAAGACCCACAACGGGCTAAAAAGATTCTATCCCAGCATAACTGGCTCAGGAATTCTGGGAGTTGAAGTCCAGCCATCTTAAAGTTGCTGAAGTAGAGAACTACTGCTCTAGTCATCTTTCTCCCTCTAGATCAGGGTTTCTCAACCTTGGCAACTTTCAGAAGGGTGGTGTTCAACTCCCAGAATTCCCTGGCCCGGCTATGCTTGAGGTCCCGCCCGGTGGATCAAGGTCTCAATGGAATTCTGGAAAGGGGAGGGGCTTGGACTTGATTGGCAGCTGGAGAGGCCGAGCATGATGCCCTTCAAACATGGCGGTCATCATTCCAGCAAAAAACTAAAATGTGAATTTATCCAGTCCGTAATAAAGCATCCCACTTGCTGTCTCGGTGAGCCCTCTGCAGGAAAACTCTTGCAAAATGTGTTTTTCAAGAAAGTTTTTCCCTGTTTTGAAGAGCTCTGTCCATTTTTCCCCTCTTTAGCTAGATGCAGCATTTGTGGAGAGAAGACAGAGAAGGGGTGCACCTCAAACAGACGGAAGTGGTTGCTTTTCATTCAATTGCAGGTAGGTCCTTGACTTACAGCTGTTCGTTTAGCGACCGTTCGAAGTTACGACGTCACTGGGAAAAAAATGACCGATGACCATTTTTCACGCTTACGACACTTGACATTAAGGTCACGTGATCAGAATACAGACGCTTGGCAGCTGACTCATGTTTATGACGGTCGCAGTGTCCCAGGGTCACGTTTACCTCTTTTGCGACCTTCTGACAAGGGAGAGGGGAAAGCCTGGTTCATTTTACAACCCTGTTGCTAGCTTAACATCCACGGTGGTTTGCTGGACAACAGTGGCACGAAAGGTTGTAAAATGGGGCAAAATTCACTTAATGCTTAACATGAGCAGGGGGTTGGGCTAGCAGACCTCCAAGGTCCCTTCCAACTCTATTATTCTGTTATTTATCAAGGAGAGGAGAAGAGAAGAGAAGAGAATAATAAAATACAGAACATTATAGAATAATAAAATATAGAATAGAATAGAATATAGAATAATAGAATACAGAATAGAATAGAATAGAATAGAATAGAATAGAATAGAATAATAAAATACAGAACAGAACAGAATAGAATAGAATAATAAAATATAGAATAGAATAAAATAGAATAGAATAGAATAATAAAATATAGAATAGAATAGAATAGAATATAGAATAATAGAATACAGAATAGAATAGAATAGAATAGAATAGAATAGAATAATAAAATACAGAACAGAACAGAATAGAATAGAATAATAAAATATAGAATAGAATAAAATAGAATAGAATAGAATAATAAAATACAGAACAGAACAGAATAGAATAGAATAATAAAATACAGAACAGAACAGAATAGAATAGAATAATAAAATACAGAACAGAATAGAAGAATAGAATAGAATAGAATAGAATAGAATAGAATAGAATAGAATAGAATAGAATAGAATAGAATAGAAAGGGACCTTGGAGGTCTTCTAGTCCAACCCCCTGCTCAGGCAGGAAAGATTCAACCTAGAAATAAGAAGAAATATTCTGGACAGTGAGAACAATTAATCAGTGGAACGATTTGCCTTCAGACTTGTTGGTCTTCCATCATTGGAAGTTTTAAAGAAGAGATGGGACAATAATTTGTTCGGGATGCTATAAGGTCTCCTGCCTGAACAAGGGTTGGACTACTAGAAGACCTCCAAGGTCCCTCCCAACATCATCATCATCATAATCATCATCATTATTCATTAAATGTGAACCTCAGTCAACTGAACATTCAAATTGACCGGCGCTGATGGTTGACACGGGTTGCGGCCAGCATCCTAGGGGTCAACCAGGTACCTCCTTAAAATATAAGATGTTCCGAGTAGCGCAGTTTTTTGTAGCCTTGCTGAAGGTATTGCAGGAAGCTGCAGTTTCTTGAAATATTTTGCATAGTTCCCAGTGCCCTGACGACAATGGGTGTCACTGTTACATGTTTCATCCATAATTGCGCATTTTCGAAGGCCAGGTCACGATATTTTGTCACTTTTTTTCCAGTTCTTTTTCTTCAATTCTGGCATCTCCTGGTACAGCAATATCAATCAGCTGTACGCTTCGATGCTCTATTATTATTATTATTATTATTATTATTATTATTATTATTATTATTATCATCATCATCATCATCATCATCATCATCATTGCACAGTCAGCCAGATGTTCAGACTGGATTTGGCATTTTGTCTACCTATCGAGTCCTTACCCAGGACCTGGGATAGGCAGATGTGGATGTTTGATGGTATTACAGATATCGTCGCAGGATGGAAGCAGATCCTAGTAAGGCTGCCTTTTGCAATTGACTAATAGCGAATTTGTCAATGCCATTGGTGTTCAAGTGGTGCTCCAGTTGTTTTGGGATTGCACCCAAGGAGCCTATGACTATTGGTACTACACTTGCTTGCTTTTGCCACAGTCTTTCTATTTCTATTTGTAGGTCTTTGTATTTTGTTATCTTCTCCAGTTCTTTCTCGTCTATTCTGCTGTCTCCAGGCACTGCCACGTCCACTATCCAGACTTTTTTGTCTTTCTTATCGACAAATGTTAAGTCCGGGGTGTTATGTTGCAGGTGCTTGTCTGTTTGAATTCTGAAGTCCCAGACCAGTTTAATTTTATCATTTTCTATGACTTTCTCTATTTTATGATCCCACCAGTTTTTGCTTACAGGCAAATGATATTTTTTGCAGATCTTCCAATGCACCATTGTTGTTACTTTGTCATGCCGCTGCTTGTAGTCAGTCTGTGCAATCTTCTTGCAACAGCTTACCAGGTGGTCCACTGTTTCTTCAGCTTCTTTGCATAGGCGGCTATTATTATTATTATTATTATTATTATTATTATTATTATTATTATTATTATTATTATTATTCCCAATATCCTTGGAAGACCTCTAAGGACAGCGGTGGATTGTCTGTACTTCTTTTTCTTATCTGAAGTGTGCCAGATTGTCTGGGCGGAGAAGTGGAAAATGTAACAATCATATAAATATGAGTGTCAAAATGTGTTCAAGGTTCCCTCTTGATAAGGTGGGGGGGGCATCTTTATTCAGCTGAATAAACACGTACGCTTATCAAGGTAAATACCTGGACTCTTTCTTTATACCAAGCCACACCTGAAACCAGCAAATCAGAGGCGTTTAAAAAAAAAAGACTGGACAGCCATGTGTTGAAATGGTATAGAGTCTCCCGCTTCAGCAGGGGGCTGGACTAGAAGACCTTCATGGCCCCTTCCAGCTCTGTTCTTCTGTAAGGGTCTCCTGCTTGAGCAGGGGGCTGGACTAGAAGACCTTCATGGCCCCTTCCAGCTCTGTTCTGATTCCGATTCCTTACACAGCATCTAAAACAGCTGAAAGCTTGTACACGCTGCATTTTGATTGCTGTTTTAATCAGTCGTTTGTCACTTATGCTTCTGTTTTGTGATCTGCCGTGGGCGACTGATAAAGACGCCGAGCTGAACGTAATTGGAAATTCAACAACAGCAAGGAGCGTAAATCACAGAGCTCATTTCGAAGT